GTATGGGCATGCTTGTACACACATGCATGCACAGAGGGACATATACATACAAACAGACACATATATATATAAATAAATTTTACAAAAGAAATTTCACTATGTGTTCCTGTTACAGTTAACACACAAACTTTACATTGTTTCCTGCTTGAATTCCTTATAAAGTTTGTCTTGATTTTTTTTTTTTAATTGCCAGACTGATTCCTAACCAGTTATAAATGGGGTGAAGTTAGTTAAGAATTCCTAGTCCTGGAGGCTGGAAAGACGGTTCAGTTGTTAAGAGCACTGACTGCTCCTGCAGAGGACCCAGGTTTGGTTCCCAGCACCCACATGGCAGCTAGAAACCATCCTTAACTACAGTTCCAGGGGATCCAGCACCGTCTTTGGCTCCCTGAGTATTGCACACATGTGGTACACTTATATACACTCCCTGAGTATTGCACACATGTGGTACACTTATATATGTGAAGACAAAACACTCATATGTGTAAAATAAAAATAAATCCAAAAAATATTTTTAGAATTCCTAGTACTAGAAACGAATTCTTGGTGATTAAGGTCTAGCAGGTTGGAGAAGGATCTCAAACATGGCAGTAATTTAAATGCTCTGAGGATTCTGTTAGACTGTCAGACATAAGGATCGTTGGTGCATTTTCCTCATTTATTAAAAATTAATTTTTACATTTTTATTTACTTATTGTGTGTGTACACACACATGTGCTTGTGCCATGGTGTTTGTGCAGAGGTCAGAAGACAACTTAAGGTAGTTGGCTCTCTCTTTCCACCATATGAGCACTGAGGAGAGATAGTTACACTTTTATTTTTATTTTATAATTTTACTAAGATTTGCTGCATTTTTCTCTCAGCTTATTCTAAGGAATTCAGAATATGAAAATGTAAACTTGAAATCAATGAATATTATTGTGATATGATCCTTCTCTTTTCTAGGAAAAGTATTTCAATCTAAACGTGCATACATATAAAATACAAATAGATAGGTAATTGCCTGTCTCAAAAACAAAAAATGAACAAGCTGGGTATGGTGGCAAACCCTTGTAAGCCCTCTGTAAGGGGAGGGGAGAGGCAGGTCCCTGGAGCTCATTAGCCAGCTAGCCTAGCAAATCAGTGGACTGTGGGTTCAGAGAGACCCTGTTTCAAAAAAAAAAAAAAATAAGGTGGGGATAGATAGAGAAGACACGCTGATGTCATCCTCTGGCCTCACGTGTACAGACCCCATATGACACATGCACACATATAAAACTGTAAAAGTAAATAAAGATGAAAGCATTAAGACAAATTACCGGGGCTGGAGCATCAGCTCAGGGACTAAGAGGGTGTATTGCTCTTGCAGAGGACCCAAGTTCAGTTTCCAACACCCACACTGGGCAGCTCACAACCACCTATAACTTTGGCTCCATCGAATTCAATGCTCTCTTCTGATCTCCTTAGGCACCTGTACTCACATAGGCACATGCCCACATATAAGTAAAAATAAAATAAGGGGCTGGAGACATAGCTCAGTGGTAAAGAGCACTGGCTGCTCTTGCAAAGGACACAGGTCTGGTTCCCAGGACCCACCTGGTAGCTAACAACCATCTGTAACTCCAGTTCCAGAAGATCTTATGCCCTCTTTTGGCCTCTGTGGGCATTGGACATATGTGGTGCATTTATATACATGCAGACAGAAACTCATATACATAAAAAAATAGCTGATTAAATTTAAAAAAATATTTAAAGAGGGAAGAATCATCTATGAAGCAGCGTCCTAACAAGTCAAAAGGGTCTTCTCTTATTGTTTTGTCCCTTCTTTCTCCTAATTTTTTTTTTTTCTGAGACAGGGTCTCTCTGTAGACCCTGCTGGCTTAGAACTCGCTATGTAGACCAGGCTGGGCTCCATCTCAGAGATCCACTTGCCTGTACCACCACACAGGGTCCCCAAATTATGCTTAATTTGTTATCAACATGTAATAGATACATTGTTAAATTTTTCTCCTATTGTTGGTTAACCTTAGCTGCCTTGTCTATATGTTGTTACATTGTTTCACAATCATTTTAAATGTCTTTGTAATGTTACATTAAATAGTTAGAACATTGTACTTGGATTTTTCAGTATTCTTCAATGTTTACATTGTTACAACTTATAAAATGGAGGCCTCTGGGGCTGATGCAGGGAGGACAGAATCAATACAGCTGGCAGGGAGATGAAGCGGGAGCCACTGGAATCTCAGGTGAGGGTTGGATGACCCTCCCACACGCTCCTTCCATGAGGGAGCATCAATAGTCCATAGGCCCAATCATTTTTAAAAAACAAATATTTTTATTTTCTTTGAGAATTTTATACTGTGTAATTTGATCATATTCACTGTCAACTCCTCCTCTATCCCCCCTTGCCCCCCAACATTATATCCTATTTATTTTATTTTATTTATCATCTACTCCTATTTGTGCTGTCCCTGTGTGGCCATCCACTAAAGCATGGTCCACCTACCAAGAGTCATTTCACACCCTTAAAAAAACGTGACTCTTCCCTCCCTTACACACCATCAACTGTTCATAGCTCCTCAGATAAGGTTGAGGGCTCATGAACTCCTTCCCTTCATGCTAGAATATTGACTGGCTTGATCTTGTGCAGGCAACCACACCTGCTCTGAGTTCATGGGTGCAACGGTCTTATCATATCTAGAAGACATGGTTTTGCTCTGGTCCTTCCCAACCTCTGGCTCTTTCCATCCTTTCTTTCATAGTGGTCCTTGAGGCTTGGGGAGGGGGCATGATATAGATGTATCATTTGTGGCTAAGCATTCCACAGTCACTTATTCTCTGTACTTTAAAAATAAATTTTCTGCATATGAGTGTTTTGCCTGCAGGTATGTAAGTGCACCACACATGTACAATGCCCACAGATGCCAGAAGAGGTCGTGGGATCCCCTGGAATGGAACTGGAGTTACAGAAGGTTGTTAGCCACCATATGGGCTCTAGGAACCAAATCCAGGTCCTCTGCAAGAGGAGCCAGTGCTCTTAACTGCTGAGCCATCTCTCCAGCCCCAGTTCTCTGCACTCTGATCAGTTGTGAGTTTCTGCATTACCAGGCCTGCTCTTGAGGGCTTCTTGCAAATAGTCACAGCTGCTCTAATGAAGATGGTGGCTGTCACTCTCACAGGATAGCTCTCTGGTAATAGTTAATTACGCTGAGCGTTCATAGAAGAACATTTGTTCTGCACCCCCAAAACTTTTGATTCCCAAGAACAACAAATATGAATTTAGGAACTTAAAGCAGCCTGCGTTTTTCATAGTTAAGTCCTCCATCATTTCTTCAGCTATGGGTTCCTTAACGAACTCTGTTCTGACAACACAAAGGCTACCAGTAGAAAGATGAGGATTCAGGCTGAATCAAGCATGTTTTGAGGTCATTATGAATTCAGGGAGATTTCGAAGGAAGAATGGGGATTTTTGGAGAGCAGACTATTAACAATAGGCTGTAGCTGTGCAGTCCAGCCACACGACGGAAGGCAGTCTTTGTTTCTCAGGATATGATTAATATTGCCTCATCATTTAATTTTAGAATTTCTAAAATAAGGAAGTTTGCAGTACTTGAGCCTGAGTCTGAAGCCTCAAACTGCCTGCTTTTGCTATTTTTTTTTTAAATACCAAAGAAACATATCATGATGAAAAATTTGGAAAACAAACTGCTCTCCCATTGTCTCTTTACCTTGACCAAATCTCTACTAATGTTTTGTGATAGTTCATTTTCTGAAAATATAGGACTTTCTGTGCTTGCGATCAAAGCCAGGGCCTTGTGCATTCTAGAGGAGTTTTCTACCCCTGAGCAATATCCCAAGTCCTTTAAAAAACATTTTTGAGGGGCTGGAGAGATGGCTCAGCAGTTAAGAGCACTGACTGCTCTTGCAAAGGACTCGGGTTTGATTCCCAGCACCCACGTGGCAACTGACAGCTGTCCATAACTCCAGTTCCAGAGAAATTCGATGCCCTCTTCTGACCACCACAGGCATTACACGACGTGGGTGGACTTACATACGTGCAGGCAATACACACATACATATAAAATAAAAATGATAAAGAAAATGTTTTTAAACACATTTTTATTGGCTGGGGGTGGTAGCTCATGGCTATAATCCTTCCCTGAGGCAGGCAGATTGTGAGTTCAAGGCTGGTTGGGGCTACTTAGTGAGTTCCAGGCTAGCCTCAGGTATATAGTGAGATCTTCTCTCAATGATGAAAGTAAAATTATAATCATGGAGCTGGAGAGATGGCTCAACAGTTAAGAACACTGGTTGTTCCTGCAGAAGACCCAGGTTCAAATCCAGGCCACCTGGGGCTACAGGGAGACCCTGTCTCAAAATGACCAAAATAATAAATAAATAAATAAATAAATAAATAATAATAAAAAATTATAATCATGTTTTCATGTTTTTGTCTATAATTTGAGGAGTGAGACATTTCAGGTGACATAACTTTTTTTTTTTTTTTTCTTTTTTTGAGACAGGGTCTCCTTGTAGTCCCAGCTGTCCTGAAACTCCATATGTAGACCAGGCTGGCATTGAACTCACAGAGATCCACCTGCCTCTGCCTTCCAAGTGCTGGGATTAAAGGTGTGCCCCACCATGCCCAGCTTCAGGTAACATAACTTAACCTTTTTTTCTGTTTACAAAAAAAGTGTCTGGATGTTAGTTGTGATTTCTGAGTAATTCCATCCTTCTGATAGTCATAATTTTCCAATTTCCTAGATGCCCTGCGGTTGGGCATCTGTCGATCCTCTGTTCAGGTCCAAGGATGAAAGTTCTGGTCTGTGCTGTACTCTTCTAGCTCAGAGGACTGACCTCGTCCTGCTGGGGTTTGCCTTCTCAGCTACTATCCTGCTGGTTTTCCCCTGATTTTCTTTCTTCCTGTTTTCTTTGTGATTTTTGTCCATTTGGGGGCAGCAGGTGAAGGAGTTGGTTGGGATCCAGTTCATGGACGGATGTTTTTGTCTTTCTTTCCTCAGCGGTGAGAGCGGTGCTGGTAAGACAGTGGCTGCAAAATACATCATGGGCTACATCTCCAGAGTGTCCGGAGGAGGCCCCAAGGTCCAGGTGAGTCAGTGCTGGCCCACTCTGGAGAACTTCCACCATCTGAACTGTCAGAGGCTCCATTTGTAATTTTAAAAAGAATTTTTCTTGAGCTGGTGAGATGGCTTATTGGGTAAAGGTGCTTGCTGCTAAAGATGAGTTCAGTCCCCAGAACCCACGTGGTAGAAGGAAAGAACTGATTCCCACAAGTTGTCCTCTGTCCTCTGCATGCATGCTATGGCACAGAAATAAACAAATAAATAATTGTAAAACACTATTTTTTGCACAAAAGTCCTTTAACCAAGAAATGTGAAATATGTACAGAAATGATGCATTTTCAGATTAACAGGTTTATTTTATAATGAGCTCCTACAAATTAGTAAAAAGAGGGATGGTTCAAAAGGAAAATAAAAGGTGTGAAAGCTAGTTCATGAAATAGAAGTTATTCAACAAAGATACTAATAAGAGAAATACCTACTGAAACCACACCAAATCTGGGGCTGGGAATATAGCTCAGACAGTAGAGTGCTTGCCTAGCATGCATAGTTCTGGCCTCCACCCCTAGCACTGCATAAACCAGGCATGGCACAAACCTATAATCCCAGCACTCAGAAGGTAGAGGCAGGAGTATCAGGAGTTCAAGGTTATCCTTGACTACACAGCAAGTTTGAAGCTAGCCTGAGCTATATGAGTCTCTTCCTCCCTCCCTCCCTCTCTCCCTCCCTCCCTCCATCCCTCCCTCTCTCCCTCCCTCCAATACAAAACAAAAACAAAAACAAAAAAAGGCTACACCAAACTGGTTTTTGCCTGTCAAATTGTCAAAACTTGTAGTTCTTTTAAAAAATAAATCTGTTTTATTATTTGATTTTTTTTTAATGTGTATGAGTGTTTGCCTGCATGAATGTAGTGCAGCACAGCATGCAGTGCCTGCAGAGGTCAGAAGAGAGTGCAAGATTCCCCTGGAACTAGAGTTACAGACCGATGTGAGTGCTGGGAACAAAACCTGGGTCCTGTAGAAGAGCAGCCAGTGCTCTTAACTGCTGGGACATCTCTCCAGCCCCCCAAACATGTAGTTCTCACAGATACTGTTGTTAAGAATGTTGGGTCACAGCTGCTCCTGTTGCTGGCAGGAGTATGAAAATAGCAGAGGGCTAACGCTGAGCATTTCAGTAAAATCTTAACAAATTACATGTAGGCCTATGTCCTAGTTTGTTTCTCAATTGCTGTGACAAAACACTCTGACCAGTACCAACTTGGGGAGGAAAGGGTTTATTTTATCTTACATCTCCCAGGTCGCAGTTCATCAGGGAACCCAAGGTAGGAACTCAGGGCAGGAACCTGGAGGCAGGAGCTGGAGCACAGGCCCTGGAGGAATGCTGCTTACTGGCTTGCTCCCCTGGCCCCTGCTCAGCCTGCTTTCTTATGCAACACAGGCCCACCTGCCCAGGGGTGGCACCTCCCTCAGTGGGCTGGGCCTGGGCCCTCCCACATCACTCAACAGTCAAGAAGATGCCCCTCAGACATGGCCACAGGCCAGCCCTATAGAGGCAATTCCCCAATTGAAGCTCCCTCAACCAGGTGTGTCAAGTTGACACTAAAGCTATCCACCACAGCCTAGGACTCAGCAGTTCTGCTAAATTCATCCTTTTTATTTTTTTATTTTGTTTTGAGATGTGCTCTTTCTAAGTTGGTCAGGTTGGCCTCCAACTCAATCCTCCTGAGTAGCATATGCCTGGCTTTCCATTCTTTAGGTAGATTGAAATGTATACAAAATGGAACATATGCAAAGCTATTTGTGGTCTTCTTGATAATACAAAAGACTGGAAATGTCTATGTTTGTCTAGAGGCAAGTAGTGCAGTCCTTTACAGCTCATTACATCATAGGACATTACACAGCAATGGGAATGAGGCTCCATGTGTATCTCCAAGAAGTGTCATCAGCTCCAAAGAGCAAGGCCTTGTGTGCATGATGATGCTAGCTGTGGAAAAAGAGAGCGTGTGTCTCTGCATCTGGACTAGTGTCATGGATTCCAGGAAGGGCACATGTGTGGCTAGTCAGGATTTTCTTCAGGAAGGGATGCTGAGAGACTGGCCATGGTGTGTTCTTCCTATGTACCTGTCAGATAATCGGATTTTGAGCTATGTGAGTAAATTGCCAATTCAAGAACGTATAGGGCTGGAGAGATGGCTCAGCAGTTAAGGGTACTGGCTGTTCTTGCAGAGGCCCCGGATTCAGTTCCCAGCACCCACATGGCAGCTTAACAACCGTCTGTAACTCCAGTTCCAGGGAATCTGATGGCCTCTTCTGACCTCTGCAGGCATTGTACAATATGGGTGCACTTACATATACACAGGCATAACACTCAATGCAAATTAAGTAAATAAATAAAAGGGTTTTTAAGTTAAAAAAAAAAACATTTTAAAGAAAGAGAAAAAAAGGCAAAAGACAAAGGAAGGAGAGTAGAAAGAAAGGAAAGACTCTGAGGGTTGGGACTCCTGAGAGAAGCTGGGAAAGGAATTTCAAAATGGAAAAGGGGATTCAAAATGGAGACAGAAGCAGGGGAGACAGCATAGTGAGGTCAACGCAGCTTTGTCTGTTTGTAGTTTCACTCATTTGTAGGAGCACAATCCACACTGGCAGAAGTGAGGACCACTCTAAATGATGGTGATGGTGAGCCAAGAGGCCCCTGGGGCTGCCTCGAATCCTGGAGCTCACCAACACACTCCTGGGAAATTTTGTTTGTTTTTGAGACAGAGCCTCCCTTGTAGCCCCAGCTGGCCTGCAACTCACTATGTAGACCAGGCTGGCCTCCATTTCACAGAGATCCACCTGCCCCTGCCTCTGGAGTGCTGGGACTAAAGACATGCACCACCACTTCCAGTGTTTTTTGTTTGTTTTTTTGAGACAGGGTCTCACTATGTAGATGAGGCTGGACTTGAACACACAGAGATCCACTTGCTTGTGACTCCCAAGTGATGGGAGCAACCATTCCCAGAAGTTTGGTTGTTTTTGCTTTTGCTTTTTTGAGCCACTTAATGGAGGCTGGACTCAAACCCATTAGCCAAAGATGACCTTAAACTGCTGATCATCCTGCCTTTTGAATACCGGGATTATAGGCATGTGCTACCATAGCCAGGTTATATGGTGCTGGACATCAAATCCAGGGCCTCATGCATGCTAGGCATATACTCTACCAACTGTGCTACATCCCCAGCCCTACTTATAGCTTTCACATTCCAAAATCCCCTACTTGGACTGTAAGGCAGGACCTCTCTCTGTGCAGTAGGAAAAATACAAACCACACACCAAAGTCACACTGATAATCCCAACCCCTGAGGCCGAGACTATAGAAGTGTGAGGCACTAAGCAAGACCTTGTCTTAAAAATTTAAATGCTTTATTTAACCCAACAAATCCCAGAATGTATCATTTTAGCCTAAAATCCACAGACATTTTTTAAAAGATATCTTATATCCCACTATTGATCTGCCTCTGTCCTAGAGGGCCGATGTGGAGGTGGGAAATCTACAGTACTATCTTCATTCCTTCTCTCTTCTTTGATAAGCCCATCACTTGTCACAAAATTCTATTGGTTCTTCCTAATAGTTCATATGGATTGAGGGGTATATGCAAACATAGTCTCCACTTAAGTTGATTATTTGAGCTAGAGGTATATCTCGGTGGTAGAAAGCCTATCTAGGCTGGGGATGTAACTCCGTTGGTAGATCGTTTGCCTAGCATGCACACAGCCCTGGGTTCCATCCCTAGCACCACATAAACCAGGTGTGGTGGTGCTTACTTGTAATTCTAGCACTGGGGAGGCAGAGGCAGGAGAATGGAGAGTTCTAGGAAACAAGTTTGAGGGCAGCCTGAGCTATAGGAGACCCTGTCTCCTGACTGGAAACTCTCCATGTCAACCAAATAAAGAAAGAGGGCTGGAAAGATGGCTCAGAAGTTAAGAGCACTGACTGCTCTTGCAGAGGACCCGGGTTCAAGTCCCAGCACCCACATGGTGGCTATGAACCGTCCTTAACTCCAATTCTAGAGGAATCAGAAGCCCTCTTCTGACCTCTGCGGCATTGCACGACACAGGTGCACTCACATACATGCAGACAGTACACTCATACACATAAAATTTTTAAAAATATTAAAAAGAAAGAAAGAAAGAAAGAAAAAATGAAAAAACTAGAAAGAAGCCTTACTGAGCACACCCGAATCCATGACCCCAGGTTTATTCAATCATAGTGCTGCAGCCAAAAATTAAAAAAAAAAAAAAAAAAGACTGCTTATGGTGGCACATACCTTTAATCTCAGCACTCAGGAGGCAGAGACAGGCAGATCTCTGTGAGTCTGAGGCCACTTGGTTGACATGGAGAGTTTCCAGTCAGAGCAATATAATAAGACCCTGTCGCAAAAGTGAGAAAATAAAATAAAAATAAATTTAAAAATAAGGTTATGATTTTTAAAAATAAGGAAAAGCTTTAAGAAGATCCCCTCCACCGTCTCCCTAAAGGAAGCTGAGTGTCATCAAGTGACGTAGCACATCTGGCCTGCAAACAGAAGATTAAAGGGATTAATAAAGATCCACAAAGTCAAATTTCATTTCACAAAGAAAAGCAAAGCTTATAAAAATCCCTGAGTTGTAAAGCAGTGTAGACAGCTTGGAAGTATGGGGCTACGTCTGAAACAGACCCGGTGGAGGGACCACCCAGACTTTGACTATGTGCTACTAACCAAGGGAGTCCCAGTGTGGGATGGAATGCCTGCTCACTCTCACACCTGGCATTCTCAGAATGTTCTGAGGGTGCTGAAGGAGTATGTTGGTTATCCCATAGTCAATTTAGTACCTTCGTCTAGTCCTATTTGCTGGAGCCTATAACCCACTGGCCAAGCTGCAGATGGGTAGTGTTGATCTTTCTCTTCCTGTTTTCCTTTGAGGACAGTGATCCAGAGCTCTTGGCTTCAAATGAGTCAGTAGCTCAAAAGCACAAGCCAGAGACTTGTTATTTCTGGAACACGTTTAGCCATAGCATGTGAATAATTAGAAGAACAAGGAGTGACTCACTGTCAAAAGCCCTCTCCAGCACCAAGTCCTGTCAGCTGAATGGCCTCCTGTCCGTGGTGTCTTGCACACTTTTAAGTCTGGCCTAGAACAACAGTGTCTAAACCAAATTCTTCCTGTTGTTCAGGAATTGTGTCACACAATATGGTATTGCCCCTGGCTGCAATGCTGAGTTCATTCTGGCAGAACCGGTCACACCAGGGAGCTGGGTCTCTCCTTCCACTCTGCAGGTGCTAGGGATTAGCAGCAAGCTCCCTTACCCATGAGTCATCTTGCTGTCCCCTGGGTGGGCGGGGGCTTTGAAATACAGGTTCCTGGGTCCTGTCCCAAACCTATTAAACACTCTTCTGCCTTTAGTAAGACATACAGGTGACATTATTATACATTATTGTTGAGACCCATGTGACTATATTTCTATAACTGGAGAGGAGAAACCATTGCCCTTTGGGCACGTCTTGCCTCTTCTTGCCTCTAGTGTAGCAGGTGGAACAGTTGGGAAAGGCCGACCATCAAGGAGACTTCTCCATGCTTCTCCTTCCTCCCTGACCCCATGACCCCCAGTGCAGCCAAAATGCAGCTGTAGCAACTATCGTGAAAACCGAGTCCAGGACTGTGTAGACTCTGACTTCCTGGTGGTACTCTGCCTTCGGGATCCTGCATCAAGCCAAGAAAGCTGGGAAACCCAGTTATACAAGCAGGGTTAGGTCTGTGGCCATGAAATAATATATTCTCAGCTGGAGATGTAGCTCAGTTGGTAGAGTATGTGACTAGCATGCACAAAGCCCTTGGTTTGATACCCAGCACTTGGGAAGTGGAGGCACAAAGATTAGAAGTTCAAGGTCATCGTTGGCTATATAGTGGGTTTGAGGCCAGTCTGAACTAAATGACACTCTGTTTCAAATCTATCTTTTTGTCTCACTGTGTGCTCCCGAGTGGCCTGGAACTCCCAATGTAGACCTGGATGACCTTGAACTCACAGAAATCCACCTGCCTTTGCCTCCCAAATGCTGGCCCTATTTCCAAAAACTGAAAAACAGCCAGGCTTGATGGTGCATGCCTTTGATCCCAACACTCAAAGGGTAGAGGCGAGTGAGTTCAAGGCCAACCTAGTCTACATAGGGAGTTCCAGGCCAGCCAGGTATACAAAGTAAGAGCCTGTTTCAAACAAAACCAAACCCGAATAAATTCCCCAGAACCCCCTAAGACACATGGACTCAGGGCCCTCACCTTATGGTCTTCAGAAACCGGGACTTTCGGGGAAGCTGGGTTTCACATCATGTGGTAGGAATCCACATTCCCCTAACCCTATCTGTCTCTCTTCCCCTGAAGCACGTCAAGGATATCATCCTGCAATCTAACCCACTGCTGGAGGCCTTCGGGAACGCCAAGACTGTACGCAACAACAACTCCAGCCGATTTGTAAGTGTCTCCTCAGCTCTTGCTCCTGATTCCAGTCCTGGAAGCACTTCTCCTTATTGAAGAAACTGGCTTTTCAAGCTCTCATTTATCTTCTTAAGCAGTGTGCCCTTTGACAGAAGTTATTTTTGAACCTTGGATGCAAACAAGATAATTTCAAAAATGATTCGCCTCTTGACTTGCCTAAGGAAAAGATGCTGGCAGTGCTGGTCCTGGGAGACTTGTGCTGGTTCCCTGGAGAAAAAGAAACCTTCTTTCCCAAAGAAATGGCAGAGAAAACCTTGGATAACAGCCTGCTTGCCGGGACTTCGCTCCTTGGAGCTTGGTCTATAGACTCTAAAGGGCTATAGACTCTTGGGCTGAGGAGACACCTCGGGGAGATTTCCCCTCTGCGCCTCTGCCTGCCCAGCTTTGAATTTTCTTCATGTATATTCATGGGATATCAGCATCTAAGACAGACTGGCCCTGGGGCCTAACTGACCTTTGTACCCAAGGTTACGACAGGGTCACCCCTTGCTGCACTGCAGATCCCTTTCCAAAAGTTTCAGACTGGGAGTCTCCTGGGGGGAGAGTATATTGGAATATGAACATTACAAAAGCCACATTTACAAACAACAAATACCCAGTAGGCTTGGCTTCTATAGATTTAGCATCTTATTTCAACCCTAGTGCCTGTCTGGCACTCAGGCCAGGAGCCATCTGTGAGGCTAACACCTGGCTGTTTCAAGACAATTGTGGGACTTTTAAAGAAAAACAATTTAGATTTTACTTAAAAATTTTTATTTACTTTAAAAGAATTTTATTTTAAAATATTTAAAAAAAAAAAAAAAAACATTTGTGACAGAGCCTCATGCAGCCCAGTCTGGCCTCAAACTCCCCATGTAGGATGACCTTGAACAATTCATCCTCCTGCCTCTGCCTCCCAAGTGCTAGGATTACAAATGCGCACACCATACTGATTTCAGCCCTAGCTCTGAAAGGAAGTTTCTATTTCCAAGAGAAATCTTACTGTGTTCTCAGGGGGGCCACTGTCAAGTTCACTGATGGGTTGTGTCTATGAGGCAGACTTCACATTCATCCCTGTCCAAAATTACTGAATTTATTTTATTTTATTTTATTTTATTTTATTTTTTATCACTCCTGTTCTTCAGTTCAGTACTTGGGTTAAGAAAGAAGCCATAAATGAGTTTTTCACTTGACCTTTTCCTCCTAATTGTTATTCTAATCCTGTCTTGAAAAAATAGACTTGACCAAATTTAACCCTTTAGTTACCCACCCACACCTGTCTTCCTTAGAGAGCAGAAAAAATAATTGTCATTACTTTCCTTGATTTTTTGTGTTATAAACTGTTCTTCATTCTTAGATGATAACTAATCTTTATAAATAGCAAGGGCCCAGCATTTATAATCATATATCCCTAATAGAAAGAGAGGTAAAGTGTAGACCTCTCTCTCTGTTTTTTCCTCCCTCTCCCTCACCTCTCTGCCATATCTGATAGCATCAAAAGATATTCTCACTAATTATTTGGGAAATGTAGGTTTTAAACCATATGCTATTTTCTATCTTTAAGATAGGCACAAACATTACAAAGACTGGTGGTAATAGAGAAAAGATGCTCTTGGTTGAAGACTGACACAATCTTACAAACTCTGCTGAGTGGGAACTCAGGTCCTTGTGCATACTCTGCCATTGGACAACTCCATCAGCCTGGGCTATTACCATTAATCTATTAAAACTTAAAATACTCATTATCTAGGCTGACAAGGTATCTCAGTGGGTAAAGGCATCTGCTACCAAGCCTGACAGCCTGAGTTCAAACCCTAGGATCCCACATGGTAGGAGAAAGCCAACTCATGCAAGTTTTCCTCTGACCTCCACATGTACTAGTACAGGGTCCATGGGGAAACATACCAAGTACTTCTTTATCCTTAATAAGTTTGTTTTCTTTCTTTTATTTAGTTTTTTTTATTTATTATTTTATGTGTATGAGTATTATGCCTGCATGCATGCAAGTATACCCATGTGACGCAGTCCCCACAGAGGTCAGAAGAGGATATCAGATCCCCTGGAACTGGAGTTAGGCATGGTTATTAGCTGCCATGTGGGTGCTGGGATTCTAACCTGGGTCTTCTGCAAAAGCAGCCAGTGCTCTTAACTGCTGTGCCATCTCTCCAGCCCCTCTAGTTTGTTTTCTGTTGCTGTGATAAAACACTGACCAAATGCAAAGGGAAGGAAGGGTTTCTTTAATCTTACAGCTCTCAGTCCCTCTTTGAAGGAAGTCGAGGTAGGAACTCAAGGCAGAAACTGAAGCAGAGACCATGGAGCTAGCTTACTGGTTGGCTCGCTCCTGGCTTGCTTAGCCACCCTTCTTAGACAGCCCAGGATCACCTGCCCAGGGGTGGCACCTCCCACAGTTGGCTGGGCCCTCCTACAGCAACCAGCAATCAAGAAAATGCCCCACAGACAACCCCTCAGGCCCATCTGATGGAGGAAATTCCTCAGCTCAAGGTCCCTCTTCCCAGGTGTCTCTGTGTCACGTTGACAAAAACCAACCAGCACAGAGAACTTCCTGCTCTTCCAGAGGACCGGAATTTGATTCCTAGTACCCATATCAGGTGGCTCAAAGCTGCCTGTAACTCAAGCTCTAGGGGACCCAACACTCTTCTCTGGTCTCCACTCACGCACACAAACCCACACACAGATACACATAATTTTTTAAAAATAAAAATCTTTTTTAAAGTTTTTTTTTTTCTTAATTTTCTCTCCTGACCCAAAGGTGCATGATTTCTTTTTTTTTTTTTTTTTTTTTTTTTTTTTTTTTTTTTTGAGGACCAGAGGGAAATTAAGTTCTAGTGAGAAAAAAAGACATCTCAAGGTTAACCATTTAGATACCTTTTGCTCCAGCTTTTTGTCTTTCCCCCATTAGCAGTGATATCAAATGAAGAATTAATAAGCAACAGACCCACAAGAAGTTGGAGAAAATTTTATTCATAATGACTGGGTTTTTTTTTTTTTTTTTTTTGGATCGGCATCTTGGGTGCTCCAGATGAGGAAGGATGAATTGGATTGGTGGGTGAAGCCTACCAGAGGAAGAATGTGCTTCTTCTGATAGAGGCCAGCACAGTTCCGTACTATCAGACTGAGGGTGCCGTGTGGTTTTCTGCCCCATCCTTCAAAGATATAATATCTCCTTATTTAGTCTGACTGGGGCAAGTGGTTCTCTCTCTGAATATGAAATTGTGACTGGAAAGCTCTGGCTATTGTTTGATACGAAAAAATAAGGAAGTCTAGATCCGAATTGGGGATAATCCAGAATGTGTCTTCCATGAACAAATTTCCTTGAATTATACCCTGTATTCAAAGTCTGTTTGGAGCACTGTGTTTTTGTTTACAAAGCATTAAAGGAAATTCCTAACTTTCTTACAGGGAAAATACTTTGAAATCCAGTTCAGTCCAGGTGGGGAGCCAGATGGTGGAAAGATCTCCAACTTCCTTCTGGAAAAGTCCAGGGTGGTGATGAGGAACCCTGGAGAGAGAAGCTTTCACATCTTCTACCAGGTTTTCCTATGCTGTTTTTTTTTTTTTTCTTTCTTAATTTCCTATTTCTTTTTTGTATAAAAAAAAGGTGGGGGGGGGGGATGAAGATAGGAGATGGCTCAGTGGGTTAAGGTATTTGCTGCTTAAGCATGAGGACCTTAATTCAATTCCCAGGAACCACCCTTTCAAGTTGTCCTCTGATCTCCAAGTGCGCAGTGGCACATGTGCACCTCCACGTGCACACACAAAATAGATTAGTAAATGGAATTTAAAAAGTTGTTAGAATTCTTTTTCTCTCAGCCCTCAAGTTTAGGCAGTAGTCACTCAAACAAGCCCAGAAAGATGCCTTCACAGTACATGCAAGTAGGTGCACAGATGAGGCATGAGACTATCTCCTTCCTCCAGGAGAATTAAGTTCTAATTAGAGTCACAAGACAAAATTCCACAAAAGTTAAATAACTCCAAAACTGTTGATAGAACTTCAAAGCAAAATAGGAGTATTTGTTTGATTCTTTGCCAAATAGGAATTCACCTGGGAGGAGTTGGAGAGATGGTAGGGGAGATTAACTGAGGATAGAGCACTCTGGGCAGAGAGAGAAGGAAGAGGTAACGGGGTGGGGATCAGATGCAGTAACAAAAGCTATTCTGAACAGAGGCCTCAGCTAGCATGCAGGGCATACACCTCTAGCAGGTGGGTGAAAGAGTGGCAGTAGGCTTGGGATCCTTAATGCCAGCTCACAGCGTTCCTACGTGGACCCTCAGAAAGCAAGGAGAGTCTGGGGCCAGAGCAGAGGTGCTTTTAAGTTATGTTTTAGGCTTCGGCGGTAATTCAGTTCAGCTGTTGTTGTGTTCAGTACTGGAGATTGAGCCTGTGGCCTCCCATGTGCCAGGCACACACTCTCCCACTGAGAACTATCCCCAGCTCTCCTTTTGTTTTTTCTTTCTTTCTGAAACAGAGTCTGACTAAGTTACTAGGCTAGCCTTGAACTCACTTGGCAGCCCAGGCATGTCTTGAACTCGTGATCCTTCAGCCTCGGCCTCTTGAGTAGCTGGGATTCACAGGCCTGTATGATTAGACCTGGACAATTCAACTATTTGAAAACATGTAGAAATATAATGCCATGTTGAAAATTGTGATGTTCGGGTTTACTTAGTGATATTTTCATATTAGGAACCTACATTAGCATTTTCTTGAAAAAGCACCTGGAAATGGTTTCCTCTGGTTGTGTTTTCAGTCTGAAGATCACTGGATTAGGAAGAAGTTAATCTGTGGAAGTAGTAGCTCTCAGTCAACTTTTCCATTACAGACATCTTCAGTGATGGCTAGTCATTCTTTTAGTTGGTATCTATTTGTTGAAAAAGTACAGGAATGACCAAAAACTTCCAGCATATCAGTGGTATTTATAATTATATTTATCTAAATACCATGTGCAGATGGATGGGAAGTAGCTGTGCAGGTCACAGGAATTTGTTAGTATTGAGCATTGGACAGAAAGACACCATGCATAAGGAGGTATCTCACCTCCTTCCAGGGACCCCCTACCTGCAGGTCAGAAACCACCAGAATAGAGGCTGGGAACTGATGGGCTCAAAGATTCAAGAGTCTCACACATAAGTAAAGGCTGAAGCGATGGAACAGATAAGATCCCATGTGGGTGAGTGTGGAGAGAAAAATGGTGGCCACCCAGGACCTGTAGAATACATGTGTAGGATAAGGGGGCCTGGAGGGGTCAGTGCAGGAAGCAACAGGATCAAATACTCTAAGCTCTTTACAAGAGGGAGTGGGTCAGGAGTCTCTGGACCAAGAACATCCTGCTGGATTGAGCCATTGAAAAGAAAGCCAGGAAAGCAATTTTGCCAAAACAGTGAGAGGAGAAGCCAGAGTATGTGACTAAATCATGGTGAGGAAGTAGATACTGTGGCTTGAAGAAGTTCAGTGTCAAGGAAAAGCTTTTTTTTATTTTTCTATTTTTTTATTTTACATGTATGAGTGTATTGCCTGCATGTAAGTGAGCGCAAGCATGTCGTGCAGTGCCACAGAGGTCAAAAGAGGGCTTCAGATTCCCCTGAAACTGGAGTTAAGGACGGTTTGTAGCCGCCATGTGGGTGCTGGGAATCGAACCCAGGTCCTCTGCAAGAGCAGTCAGTGCGCTTAACCACAGAGCCATCTCTCCAGCCCAAGGAAAGGCTTTTGATGAGTGCTAAGAGCAGCATAGGAGCTAGAAGAGTTGAAGACATGGGTGTTTGAAGATGTGAGTGAGAGGGGCTATGTGGTCTGACAGGAGACAAGTATTTTCTACAAAAAAAGGAAAAAGGAACAGGCTGTACAAAACAACTTTTCAGGGGCTGGGGATGTGGTTCAGGTGGTAGAGTGCTTGCCTAGCATGCACACAGCCCTGGTTTCAGTCTCAACACCAAATAAACAGGGTGTAGTGGTGTAATTCCAGCACGTGGGATTGGAAGGGAGAAGATCAGAAGTTCATGGTCATCCTTGACTACACAGGGAGTTGGAGGCTTCAGTCTTGAGGGGGAAAAATGGGAGGGGGAGGGAGGGAGGAAAGAGGGGGAGGGAGGAAGAAAGGAAGGAGGGAAGGAGGGAGGGAAGGAAGGAAGAAGTTTTAGCGAAGAAAAGAAGGGAAGCTTGATGTCACATCATGACCTAGAACTTCTCAGGAACACACAGGTGACAAAGCTGGAGAAGTGTGGCTAGGGGCTGTTTTCTCAGAATGATCAGGTAGCCCATGGGCTTCTGAAGCTGGCTCCTGCTGGCTGCCTGCATCCCTTCCCACCTCTTCAGTGCTGGCTCTTTGGTGGTTTCAGAATTGTCCTAGTAGGAGTTTATATACCATGAATATCAGCAGATACTACAAATCGATTTCTTTTTTCCTCCCAAGAGTTGATTGGGGTCCCCCCTTTTTGTTGTTTATTTTAAATAGGTGGGTAATGAAAGCAGAGAAATGGAAACTTTTATTTAGTTGGTTAGCTAGTTATCTGTGTGTAGGTGTTTGTGCCAATGTGTACATGTAGAAGTCAGAGAATAACTTGCAAGAGTCGGTTCTATCCTTCCACCATATGGCATCCAGGGAATTGAACTCAGGTTGTCAGCTTGGCTGCAAACACCTTTACCTGCTGAGCCTTCTTGCTGGCCCCAGATAATTATTCATCCTTTTCCAGCATAGCAAAGGATGGCTCCCATTAAAAAGGCCTTACCACTCCTAAGGTTCATATCAGAGCTTGAGTAAAAAAGCCAAAGGATGGCTGTGACCAGGGAGACCCTGCCAAAAATTAAGAAATAAAAACCAAACCAAACCAATGGATGCTCAGTGGGTCAGGAGGCTACAAAATACCAGAGGCAGAACTTATGTCCATTTTGATATATAACATGGTAGAGCAAGAAGTGTGTAGACGATGGTTTTACTTTAAAAAGCCATAGGGTGGGGCTGGGAGACAGCTCAGTGATTAAGAGTGCTTGCTGCTCTTACAGAGGACCAGAGCTGAGTTCCCAACACCCACATGAGGTGGCTCACAACTAACTCCAGGTCCGCAGGATCCAGCACTCTCTTCTGGCCTCCAAGTTTACTGCACTCATGCGGAGAAACCCACACACAGGCACACATATACACATGCATACACATAAATAAAAATTAAAATGAAACAAATCTTTAAAAAGCAATAAGTGGTTTGGGCCAGAATTAAGTGGCCATTATCTATTTTGTATTGCATTCCACTTTTCCACTAGATCACAAGCATAGCACACAGTTTTTTCACTGACAAGAGTAAAGCCTCAGCTCTTGCAGGCCTTGTCAGTTAAGAATTGGAATTTGTGGGGCTGGAGAGATGGCTCAGTGGTTAAGAGCACTGACTGCTCTTGTGGAGGACCTGGGTTTGATTTCCAGCACCAACATGGCAGCTACAAACCGTCCTTAACTCCAGTTCCAGGGGAATCCGAAACCCTCTTCTGACCTCCTCGGCACTGCACGACATGGGTGCACTCACACACATGCAGGCAATACACCCAGCACCCACATGGTTGCTATAAACCATCCTTAACTCCAATTCCAGGGGAATCCGAAACCCTCTTCTGACCTCCTCGGCACTGCACGACATGGGTGCACTCACACACATGCAGGCAATACACTCATACACATAAAATAAAAATAATAAAATATTTAAAAAAAAAAAAGACTTGGAATTTGCAGGGGCCAATTTGGGACTGAGACAGCTATAGCCCAATATTCACCACCACCACCACCACCCCCGCCAGATGCTGGAGACTAGAACCACCAAGAATTTTAAAATTCGAGGGTAGAAAGTTCTCCCCACCTAGGAAACAGGAGATGACTGTGGGCACTTTATGAACCGCATCCCAACACATGCTGTGTTTTGTCACTGCAGCTCATTGAGGGGGCCTCTCCAGAGCAGAAGCAAAGCCTGGGCATCACCAGCATGGATTATTATTACTACCTGAGCCTCTCGGGGTCCTACAAGGTTGATGACATTGATGACAAGCGGGAGTTCCAGGAAACCCTGGTAAGTGTGAGTACAGGGTAGGCAGCCTCTGCTGTCCTGCCCAGACAGTGAAGGTCAGCAAAGCAAGCAGCAACATGACCTGCTCCCTCATGCCACCGTAAGCGCTCCTTATTATAAAACCTGTGTTCAGCACCTTGGGATGACCATGTGCCCAATTGTGCCTGAGGACCACTTAATTATTTGAGATGAGTTAAAAGGTGATATACAGGCAAAGACAATTCAGGCTATGCATTTAGTGTGCTTGTTTGCTGAACAGTGGACACTTGGCAAGCTGTTCCTTAGGAAGGTCAGAAAAAGCCCAAGTGTGGGCTTAATTGAACATAGAAAGTTTTGGGGACTGGAGAGATGTCTCTGAGGTTAAGAATACTTGCTGCTCTTGCAGAGGACCAGAGTTCCGTTCTTAGCACCCTGTCAGGTAGCTCATAACCACCTGTAACTCCAGCTTCAGTGGATCCATTATCCTCTTCTGGCCTCTGCAGACACTCCACTTACTTGCACATACCTTCCCACAGACACAAGCAAATGCAGATAAATAAACTTAAGCTTGGTGTGGCAGCGCATGCCTTTAATCCCAGCACTTGGGAAGCAGAGGCAGGTGGATCTCTGTGAGATCAAGCCCAGCCTAGTCTATGTAGTAATATATTATTTGGAACATTTTTAGATTTTGTTGGTTTTTGTTGTTGCTGCTTTCCATCCTCTTGATCTCTTTTTTGTTTTCAAAGACTTTTTTTTGTCTCCTCTGTGTTTTATGGTCAGAAGATAGTCCTTGTCACATCATGTGCATGTTACAGTCTAAATTATAAAACTAGTTAGATTTTTGAGGGTTTGCAACCTGGAGGAAATGATTTAAATGATTCAGTCTAGAACTTTCTAGAGGTAGACCATCCATCCATTTAGCCTTCGAGGACCGAATCAACACTGCCCTTTGAGTCAGCTATAAGCCCAAGTCTGCCCCACCCACCGACTTAGAGCTGAGAGGAGACTCAGAATGAACAGCAGAGGGTCCATCTGAGGGGAGCCGCTGCATTGCTCAAAAGTGACAGGATGTTAAAACAGACAGGTCCTGGGCCACAAGACCTCATGGCCTTAAAAGAACAGCGAGAAGCGTGCTCAGCAGTTAAGAGCACCAGCTGCTCTTGCAGAAGACCTGAGTTTGGTTCCCAGCACCCACGTGATGGCTAACAACCATCTGTAACTCCAATTCCAGGGGATCCAACACCCTCTTCTGACCGCTGCAGGCACTGCTTGACACAGGTGCACTTACACATAGGCACTACACTCATACACATTAATAAAAATAATAAATAAATTTTTAAAAAGGATTAGAGAGAAGAACTGCAGATGAAGGGCCCACAAACTGCTCCAGCAAATAGTTTTCCCAGGACTCAGAGATCTCTAACTCAAACATTTTAATTTAATGATCTCAGAAATTGGACTTTTTAGTGGTCTGTAGGTATTCTGGAGTCTGAAAGATGGCTTCGCAAATACTTTTCTCCCTCCTGTCCCACAAAGGGAGTGATCTTTTGAGACCTCTTGGGGTTGCTAGAAGAAGGATGGTAGTACCCTTGGAGGGGGAGCTTTGGGCAACCAGAGCACACTGTACCAGGACAAGTTTGTGTCTAGCCTATGCTCTGAGTGTCTCTCTTCCTGGAGTTCTCCAGCTGTGTTCCTAGAGAACCCACCGTTTTGAAAGACAGAGCTGTCCCTCCATCAAGACTGTTAAGAATCTGTGAGGGATGGGAAGATGGCTTGCTGCACAAACATGAAGCTCTGAGTTTGATCACCAGAACCCCAAGTTTTAAAAAGCCCTGGCGGCAGCACACAGCTGTAATCCAAGCACTGGGGAGGCAGAGACAGGAGGACCTCTGAGCCTTGTTGACTGTCTAATCCAAATCAGCAAACTCCAGGTTCAGTAAGAGATCTCGTCGCAAAAAAAAAAAGGTGGAAATCACTTGCTATATGGATTTCTTTCTGGCCTCCACATGTAAGTGCACCTGCACACAACACACACATAAACATACATACATTGGTCAGTGATCACATTGGTTGATAGAAGTTTTGTCATTGTAGGATAAAAGACACACGGCTGTTGCCAAGAGTGGCAGCATGCGCCTTTAATCCCAGGCCTTGAGAGGCAGAGGCAGGTGGATCTCTGTGAGATCAAGACCACCTGGTCCACAATGTGACTTCCAGGTGTGCGGGGACTAGGGAGAACCTCACAAAAAGCCAAAGGGGGTGGAGGCGGTGACACGACACGATGACACATACTGTAACTGTACAATCAGCTTGTCTAGGTAACACCTCTCTCCTCTTCCAGCACGCCATGAATGTGATTGGGATCTTCGCAGAAGAACAGACACTAGTGTTGCAGATTGTGGCAGGAATTCTCCATGTGGGAAACATCAGCTTCAAAGAAGTGGGCAACTATGCGGCGGTGGAGAGTGAGGAGTGTGCGTAGCTTTACCATGGGGCTGTGGAATGAGGGAAGCGGGTGGTTGGCTCTGATGACACATCACCCACACCTTTGCTTGGCTTGAATAGAAAGTAGGTACATTGGGAAGAAGTGAGAAATCTCTGACTTGCAGAACCAAATGGCCTGAGGAGAAATTAGACCCCTTCTATGTACCTGTCCTTTCCTCCCCTCCCTCATGTGCCTCTCCCCTTCTTGATGGTCTCCTCTGTCCTCCTCCTCCTCCTCTCCTTGCCCCTTCTCTCTCCCTCTTTCCCCCCTTCTCCCCTCTTTCTCTTCCTTTGTGGTCTCCTCCTCCCCCTGTTCCCCACCTGAATATTCCACACCGTAAATGATTAATGAAATTATTTCTATTCATTACTAACCTTGGAGAACTCTGACAGAATTTTATATCTAGGTTTGCGTCTGTCCGTCTGTTTTTTTCACATACACATGTGGTGTATATGTACCCAGAGTACAACTTACAGAAGTTGGTTCTCTCTTTCTACCATGAGGGTCCCAGCATGAGCCATCTCACCGACCCCACATCTAGTTTTAAAAATGAAGTGATGTCTTAATGAAGATTGGCATAAAGGCTTAGTAACTCAGATTAGTCACTTTAGGAAAATCTTTTTTGTGCCTGGCCTTTATGATTTACAGGCACCTAAAGGTCCCAGAGAGCAAGCGATAGAATATATGCAGATGTGGAATGCTCACAGGTTTATAGTTTGTCCTGTGGGTTGGATTAGATTAGATCTCTGGACTTTGACTATTGGCTTGACATCGGTTTCTGGTAATTCAATGATTGCATCTGTAACGTTCACATCCTTGAGGCCTGAATGGTCACTTTTACCCTGAGAGGAACTTGGGGATCCTACAGTAAGTGTCTCTGGTTCCGTGTGCCTGGGATCTACCACAAAATCCATGGCACATGACCCCAGCTGCTCAGGCACCAGCAGCTCTCCAGGCTCTCAGAGCCCACACCCTCTCTCACCACCCAGGAAGGCATTTCTTCCTTTCTCAGCATTCTTCAAGGATGATAAATTTAGATGCTTGGTAATAAATAGTATCCCACTCACTGCTGACAGTGCACTGGGGAGATTTCCATTCCAAATAAGGATCTTTTTTAAAAAACACTTTCTGTTTTCTTTCCTCATAAAAGAGGGAAGTTCTGCAAACTTCTGATATCTATCTTTATCTGATAAAGGAAAATTATATTTACCAACGAAAGGTCCAAAAAAAAACATAAAAACAAGAGTGTCTAGAAGCCTAGAAATGTTATCCAATCATAATGGTAACTCCATTTGTAGACTGTCTAGACTTTACCTTTGACTTTTAACACATGCACTGATGTGCCCAGCAGGGTTATGGATACTTACCCTTGTCCCACTGGCAGCTCTGATTTGACAGTGTCTATAGAAAGAGCCTGGGCTTTTCTTGCCCTCTGAGAAGTAAAACCCCTCACTGCCCCTTTGTGCTTGAGTATCAACTCAGGAGCCTTTCCCAGCAAGCATGCTCCTGGAAGGTCATCCAACGATGAGTGTACTGCTTAGAGAGGTCATCCAGAGTCAGCAAGCTCCCCTGACTAAAGTGAAAGCCCTGGACTTGGCAGCTGCTTATGAAATTCCCTGAGTAGAGGTCATGGAACATGGAGCTCAGAGAAGGCTGAGCTATAAGCTTATCAGAAATACATAACTTTCCCAATCATTTTCTTCTCTCTGTTCTGGATTTTGTTCATTTGGTCATCTATTAACATGGTTGAGTGAGTTCACAGTTTACCTCTTTGCTGTCAACTGGTTCTGCTCCCCTGCAGTCACCAGGGTTCCCAAGGTGAGTTGTAGAGTGACCACGCATCCATCTTTTTTCCTACTTTTAGACTATGGTGGAGCTTCTGACACCATGTTCTATAGTTGCTTATCTGTATAGCATCTCTGGGAGATTATTCTATATCAGCTCCTGTTTAACTGCATGGCATTCTGCGGCATAGCTGTACTTTGACTCACTTAACCGCCATCTGTTGTTAAGTATTAAGATGGTTTCTGGGGCTGGGGATGTAGCTCAGTTGCTTGCCTAGCATGCACAAGGCCTTGGGTTTGATCCCCAGCACAACATAAACCCAAAGTGGTAGTGCATCCGTGCACTCCCAGCACATGGGAGCAGAGTGAATAACCCGACTCCTCCCGTCTTTCTTATATCTGAGTGCATCTATGAAATAAACTTATTGAGGGAAGTTCTACAAAAGCTACCCATGCTTTTTAAAAAAGATTTACTTTTATTATCCTCTAATTATGTGTATGTGTGTTTGTCTGTATTTGGGTTTGTGCACATGAGGTGCCTGCAAAGGCCAAAGGTGTGAGATCTGGAGCTGGAGTTAGTTGTGAGCTACCCCCACAAAGGTGCTGGGCACTAAACTTGGGCCTCTGTAAAGCAGTGTTTGTTCTTACCTGTTGATTAATCTCTCTACCCTTGTCCATGCCTTTTATAATTAAAGACAGTAGCTTTTTTCTAGATATTGTGGAGGGGGTTAAAAATCCCTCTCAAACTGACTCACCAAAGCAAAGTGTTTATTTGACCTTAGACTAATTGGAGGTATAGAATTTCCTTTGTCAAACTTTCATGTTGCTGGGAAAGCCAATCAAGCCTTAACTGAGGCACTTAACTAACATACTTGTCAGTATCAATACAACAAATGAAGTTCTTTGGGTTATAACTGTTATTTGAAAGTTATTAAATACCAAATTAACTTAAGAACTCTATTGAAGGAAAAATACTACTTTAAAATCACTGGAGTTTAGTAGAAATGACACTGCTTTTTAAATTTTTTTAAATTTTTGATCCCATAATTGATTAGAAAACACAGAACCTCAACACCAAAAATTTATAAAGCATATTTATTTGGGCATTTCTCATGTAGCCCAGGCTTGGTCTCATGTAGCCCAGGCTGGGTCTCATGTAGCCCAGTTGGTCTGGAACTTGATACGTAGCCAAAGATAACCTTGAACTTTGGATTGTGCTGACATTACAGGCATTCACCATCACACCTTTATGCAGTGCTGGGGATGGAACAGGTCTTTGTGCATGCTAAGCAAACGCTCCACCAACTGAGCCACATCTCTAGCCCTGCCATTCGTTTTAACTGTGTAAAAAAGGAATTTTGCTTTGCCTCATCTTTTTGAGTTTTCTGTCCTCCCTATACTTTAATTTAAATGGAAAACCTAAATTGAACTTTGCTTAAATCTGTCTACATTAGTGAGAAGCGGTGTTATCAGGTTCTTCTTTTACATGACTGAATGACTCCACCAGTATTAAGCCAACCTTTTAAGACTGATCACTGCTCCTTCCCCCAGGCTTCCATGCTGTACCCTTAGCCTCCGCTGCTCTCACTATGCCCTCCTGGAAATTCACAACCTAGAGGAAGTCTGTCTAAGCAGAGCTATAATTTCAGCACCAGGGCAGCCACAGAAGAAAATACAAGGCCATAAAAGCTTGTGCTTGAAAAACATGACATGGATTTTGTCCAAACCAAGTACTGTATTTCCTCTCTAGTCTGCTTAGCTGTTTCCCTAAGCTCATGGCTCTGGTTCTTGACCAGATTCCATGCCTTGTTTCTGAAGAGCCTACAGCCCTTTGGATCCACCCTCCTCTGCAGGAGAACTGTGAGACACAGAGGGATGCTTGTGTCCTGGTCACTGCCTTCTGCCTGTTTTGTCTCAGAGGTTCTCATCTTAGCCCCTTTGTTTTGTTTTCTTAGCTAAGGCCATAACGATAGCAGCAGAAATCATGAATCGTTTACCAGACAATTCAACTCTGCCCTACTCTGGCATGGATAGGAGTCTGGAGAATCTTGTGTTTACATAACAGACAAATTGGGCTGACTATTCATTGTATAAAGCTGTGTGTGGTTCCTGTGAACAAATGAGAGAGGCCCTGGTGCATAGTCAATGCTATAAAATTTTTAATAGAGATCTCACTAGATAGCCCAGGAAGAATTTAACCTCAAAGTCCTCCTGCCTCAGTCCTATAAATAACTGAAATTACAGGTGTGCACTACAATGCTCACAGACTATAATTTGTGTGTGTGTGTACTTGTGTGTGTGTGTGTGTGTGTGTGTATTCCTGTGTATGCAGGTGCACATATGTGCATGTGGAGGCCAGAGGTCAACCTTGCGTGTTATTCCTCAAGAACCATCCACCTTGAGACAGGGTCTCTCACTGGGACCTGGGACTCACCAATTAGGCTTGGCTGGCTAGCCAACAATCCCCAGGGATACTCCTGTTTCTGCATCCCCAGCTCTGGGATTGTACCTGTGCACCACAACAGCTGACTTTTTTTATATGGGCTCTGGGGCTTGAACTTGGGTTCTCATGCTTGCACAGTAAGTACTTTCTACTTGCATCATCTCCCCATTCCTACTATACATAATGGATCGTAAGTCCCAGGACATCTAGTTAGGTATGTCCTCCCTAGTGCTGGCGGTAAAGGCCTTTATGTGTTAGATACTTAGTGAATGTCTCTTCACTGTGTCTAGTGTGATTCTTTTTTGCTCTTGTCCTTACTTTGAGCAAAAACAAGGACTTTTTTTGTTCAATGGAACAAAGTCCTTGCACATACCAACATTAGAACTAAAATCTAGGAGATGGTCATTGGTAAAGTCAATGCCTGGGAAATTGCCTCTGACCAAAATCAATGCTTTTATGAAGAGAAGCTCTCCACTGGTCAGAGCACCTGTGTAGACACTCTGATAAATGAGTTATACCTTGTTCTGGCTTTAGACTTTTTCTTCTTTCTTTCTTTTTTTTTTTCAACTTAATTTTATTTTATGTGTATGAGGGTTTGCCTGCATCTATGTCAGTACACCATGTGCATGCAATGTCCATGGAGATAAGAAGAGGGCATCAGATCCCCTGGACCTGGAGTTACAGATGGTTGTAAGCTGCCATGTGGGTATTGGGAACCAAACCCAGGTCCTCTGCAAGTATAGCTAGTGTTCTTAGCCACTGAGTCATCTCACCAGCCTTCCATTCATAAAATCTTAACACATTCTTATTATCAGAGAATTTTGGTAAAGCTTTATGCTGAAAAAGATTCCTTTCCAAATTCAGACTTTTCATTTGTATCACTAAAAGTCCTTCATTCATATTGGGACAAATCTGAATATTCTTTCATGCCCAAGAACGGTATTACTTATTCATATACTAACACTTTGACCAGAAATCAAGAGAATCCCATCTGCACCAGTAGCTCTCCTCTTGGGAAGTTCCAACTTTAAACTAGAGGAAACAAGAGTCTTCGTTTTTCTATCTGAAGATCCACAAACACCCTACTATGTGTTTTTAGGGCACTATGAGTGTACTCTGACATAAATAACATCAGTCTCCTCCCTTTTACATGGCTACCTCCAGAAATCTCCATGTGATATGTCTCTTTAAAAGCCTTCAAGGGTAGAGGTGCTGGATGCAGGTTCTGTTCTCAGCACCCACTTGGCAGCTCACAACTGTCTGTAACTCCAGTTCTAGGGGATCTGATGCCCTCTTCTGACCTCCAGTGGCAATGCACACATAGGTGCACTTATATACATGCAGGCAAAACACTTATACATGTAAAAAATTTTTTTAATTTTTAAAGCCTTCCAGGGCCTAGGGAGATGGTGCAGTTGGTAGGGTTTGCCATGTACACATGAGGACCTGAGTTTGATTCCCAGAACCCATGAAATCCCGTGGAAAACCCATGGAATCCCAGCACTAGAGAGGCAGAGACAGGAGGATCACTAGTGCTTGCTGGTCAACTAGTGTAGCCAAATTGTTGAACTCCAAGTTCAGTGAGAGACCCTTTCTTAAAAAAATAAGTTAGTGTGCTGGAGAGATGGCTCAGTGATTAAGAACACTGACTTTTCTTGCAGAAGACCCGGTTCAAATCCCAGCACCCACATAGCAGCTAACAACTGTCCTTAACTCTAGATCCAAGGGATCCAACAGCCTCTTCTGTCTTCCTCGGGCATTGCACGACATGGGTGCACTTACCTATATGCAGGCAATACACTCATACATATAAAATAAAAATAATAAAGTATTAAAAAAAAGAAAGTGATTGAAAAAGACACCTGACGTTAAGCTCTGGCCTCCATAGATGTACACACACACACACAAACATACACAAGCCTTCTGAGCACCTTTGGTTCCTGCCTTTCCATTCAAGCACACTATGTCCCCAATCCCAAGCACTGGAACCCATCCCAATCTTCAGCTGTAGTGGATCCTGGTCTATACACATAGACCACATCCCAACCATACCCCCTGCCTGCTCCTCTGTGCACATTCCTTTCTCTCCACAGCTGTACAAATCCTGTCTGTCCTTTTAGGTCACGTGCTGCTACTGCCTGTTCCTTGACTACCCCAGCAACCAGCATAAGCTTGCTGTTCCAAACTCTTCCAGAGCTTTATAGTTTGTATGGGTCACACATTCTGATTTTCAAGAGGGTTCTTTATTCGATAAACTATCTAGATTGCCTTCAAGATTTATTACTTATTTCACATCCTCTTTTTTTTATAATCCTGAACACTGTAAGTGCTTGGTCAGTAGGGGATTTGGATGGAATTACTAGCTCGGTGATAGCCAGTGTTTCAAGTTCCCTGCAAATGAGCTTGTGAAAACATTGCATCAAAGGAAGAAACAATATTCAAGGCCAAAGAAATGAGTGTGGATTGTGTTCCTTCTGGGATTCTTTGCTGCAAGCATGAAGAAACGTCCCTTTTAGGTACCTCACGGTGATCTCAATAGAGGGGACTGGCCTTCTTGGATCACTGATTCGTGTGATTGGAAGTCTCAGTAATCATAAGAATTGATTTACATGATAGAACAACTGTGGAAAACAAATGAGGGGGACATGTGTGGCATTGCTGATAAATCACCTTCGTTAGAATGGAAGCTTTAAGGGGGTTAACCGTGGTGCCCACTATCATCCACCCACATGCAGACATACACACAAGGGTCCTCCGAGTGCTTGGGAAATCAAGGTTACAATTGTGAAAGACAATCATGTTTTGTATTCGACAGTTTTGGCTTTTCCTGCATATCTGCTGGGCATAAACCAAGACCGGTTAAAAGAGAAGCTAACGAGCCGGCAGATGGACAGCAAGTGGGGGGGTAAATCAGAATCCATCCACGTGACCCTCAATGCAGAGCAGGCTTGCTACAGCAGGGATGCACTTGCCAAGGCCCTGCACGCCCGCCTCTTTGACTTCTTGGTGGATGTAAGTAAACACTGGTGGATGGTCAAAATGCCTCAAATTTAAGATTGGGAACAAACCAGCTAAGAGTTTGTTTCCCTGTTTCACCTCCTGCCTTTCCATCCCTTCCTCCTCTCTGCCCTTTTATCCTGTTGAGGTTGAATCCTAAATCCAGCTTCAAGAATTTCTCAGTGAGACAAATAGCTGAATCTAATATGGCAGCAGTTTCTTCCGCAAAAGATGCTTAATGAAAGCCGGACTAGTGACCAGAAGAGGAAGCCCATGGTCTCAGATCTTAATTTTTGAGCATAAAGGATTAGGAATGTTGAATTTGTGAATGATACAATTAATTTATAACTAATTAGTCCCAAAAATAATGGGATAAGTATCTGTTTTTCCTCAACATTTCTATGGGATGAGTATTTGAGATCAACTCAGCCTGGCAGTTCCGGCTCTAGCAGGGTTGAAGTTGTGATACTGACTTGAAGAACAGTTCTCTCTGGGCTGGCCTGAGGATGTGGTCCACAGCGGGAGGTCCTGGCTCCTACCTTCAGGGGCCTCTCTTTAGAGCAGGCAGAATGTCCTCACATTTGGCAGCTGATTTTCTCCAGAATGAGTGATCTAAGACAAGCACGTGAGCAACAGGCCACAAGACTTTTATGTCCTAATATCGGACTTAAGTATTGTTACTTTGACACATTCAGCCTGTTAGGAGGAAACCACCAAAAATATTCCATACTTAAGGGAAATCAGACTGCATCTTTGAAAGGAAGGGAGATCAAAGACTTTGGATATTCTCTCTCTCTCTCTCTCTCTCTCTCTCTCTCTCTCTCTCTCTCTACTTGGTTGGTTTTTGTTTTGTTTTGAGACAGTGTCTCTTGTAGCTTAGCCTGGCCTCCAACTCAATAAGCAGCCAAGGATGACCTTGAACTTCTGATCCTCCTGCCTCTACCTCCTGAGTGCTAGTATTATAGGTATGTGCCACCATGCCTAGTTTATGCAATGCTTGGAAATCAATTCCAGGCCTTCATGCATGCTAGACACGCACTCAACCAACTGAGCCACATGCCCAGCTTGACTTTGTATATATTTTAAATTAAAACAGACACATATATTTTGGACATAACATAAATCATGCTCACGTTTATGCATGCATAACTTTATTTACTGTATATATATATATATATATGTATACATATGTGTGTATGCATGTACATACCACAGCAATTGTATGGAAGTCAGAACACAGCTTGCAGGAGTCTATTCTCTCCTTCCACCACATGAGTCTTAGGGACCAAACTCAGCTCATCAGGCTTGGCAGTAAGTGCCTTTATGTGCTGAACCATCTCACTAGCCCTGCCTGTGTTATAAAGATATATGACTTAGATTCTGAAGTCTAGTCTTTCAGTAGTGTAAAGTCAGAGGTGCAAATTTACGGTAATCAATGTTGCCCCTAGTGCTAGAATAGTAACATACCACCAGGGACCAAACACTATCTAAATATTTTAGAAAAAAATTTTGAGTAATTCCTCCAACAACCCTGTAGCTTGCATATTGTGTCTGTTCTATAGATAAATTGAACAAGGAAACAAGAGGCTACTGGTGGCTGTTCTAAAAGGACCCATATTCCTTACTATTCTGTTCTTCTGCCTTTCATTCAAACTAGCAGAAAACCCTAGGCAGATTCTCCTGAAGACCCAACAGCAAGACCATGGGTCTGAGGAGTCCCTGCCTAAATCCAAGAAGTGCCTCCCACAGGTTGGGCAGAATCAGGGGTAAGTGGGCAGGTGTTGTGTGATTTGTGTAATTATTTATGGGGTCAGGTGTTTACCTTTTCCAGATCCCTCAGTTACTGAGAAGGGAGTCTCAGGCCAGAGTGCTGGTCAGTTGCCCAAGCTACAGAGCAAGAAAATGTCCAGAACACATCATAGAACCCACAGCTTTGTAATTCAGGGTACTGTGGCAAAAGTGGGTGATTGCCATGTAATTGACACTGACTTGACCTGGCATTAATTAGGCTTTTGCTATGTATGTGGTGCACTGGGCTAAGTGTTTTATATATATAAATGTCATTACTCATTAGCTCAGTCAAAGTATATCATTTTCTTTGGCCAGAAAACACACCAGTATGTCAAAACACAGGTGCTCACCAACTCCAGGAATGTCTTGTTTCCTTCTTTTTCTGCCTCTCCCCTCACCCCCATGTTACACCTGCCTTACTGTTTTTGAGTCTCTTCCATGGACTTGTGTGGCCTCATCTCTCAGTGACCAAGTGCACAGACTCCAACTTCACCCAGCTCCAGCTTAAACCCAGGCCTTGCCTCTTGCCCAGTGTGATCTTAGGCATCTGTCTGGAAAATGAGGCGTGATGATCTCACTGCCACCATGAGTCCTGTAATGAGTGACTCTCAGCAGAACCTGGCAAAGGTGAAGGTGAAACACGTGTTGTTGTGGCCACTGAGAAGGCTCAGTGGGTAAAGGCACATGCTGCCAAGCCCAATGACCTGAGTTCAATCTCTGGAACCTATACTGTGGAAAGAGCGAACCAACTCCCTCACATTGTCTCTGACTTACACATGAGAGCCGTGGGGCATACGCATGCGTGCACATACATATCCCATGAAAATAAATAAATGTTAAAAAAATTAATAAATTAATAGATAACTGTTGTTGAGGCTGGAGAGATGGCTCAGTCAATGAAATACTTGCTGAGTTAAGTCAAAAGTCAAGCATGGCGTGGCGGTTTACACCCGTAATCTGTCCTAGTTTGCTTTTCTGTTGCTGTGATAAACACCATGACCAAAAACAACTTGGGGAGGCAAGAGTTGATTTCAGCTTGCAGGTTACACTCCTTCATCAAGAAAAGCCAGGGTAGGAGCTCAAACAGGAATCTGGAGGCAGGAACTGCAGCAGAGACCTTGGAAGAATAATGCTTACTGACTCACTTTCTCTGACTTGCTCAGTTACCTGCCTTATACAGCCCAGGCCCACCCTGCCCAGGGATAGCACCACCCACAATGGGTTGGACCCTCCCACATCAGCTAGCAATTAAGAAAATGTCCCACAGACATGGCCACAGGTGAAGGAAGTCTTCTGTTGAGGTCCCCTCTTCCCAGGTGATTTTAGTTTGTGTCAAGTTGACAAAAGCTAAGTAGCACAAATCCCAGCTCTGGGGAGGCAGAGACAGGAGGATCCCTGAGACTTGCTGACCAGCCAGTCTAGCCAAAATGACAAGTTCAAGGCTTAGTGAGAAATTCTCAAAAAAAATAAGGTTAAGGGTTGGAGGGATGACTCCGGGTAAGAGCACTTGCTGTGAAAGCAAGAGGACCTAAGTTCAAAGCCCCAGCACCCACACAAAAGCCTCTCATGGCTGTTCATGCCTGTAACCTCAGAACTGGGGGAGAGACAGAAGGACCTGAGGGTATCACTGGCAAGACAGTGTAGCCGAAATGGTGAGCTTCCAGTCCAGTGAGAGACCCTGCCTCAAAAAAATAAGGTGAAGAGCAAGAGAGGAAAACACAATGGTTTCCTCTGGCCTCTGCATGGGCATACACACCTGTACACACACAAACATACAAATAACGATAAGGCAAACAATTGAAGAACACGCCTGACACTGACTTCTGGCTTCCACACATGTGCACATACACATGAATGTATACACACATGTTGATAATAGTTGCTGTTATCTGTGGACAGCTCACCTGCATACGCTGCTGGGGATTAGGACTTTGTCCTCTGCATCCATGGCACATTCTGTCCTGTGATTATTGAGCACTGCAGAGCTGGTGACAGCCAAGTGATAGTTGCAGGTTTTCTAACAGTGCAACCTCATGTGGAGTGGGATCTTACTTGGATCATCCAAGACGGATTTTTTTCCAGCTCTCAAAACTTCTCGAGGGAAGCTAACACGGAAGAGTGAACGGTTTTCATTATCATGCAAATAGTGTTCTTCCTGCTACGCTAGTGTTTTGGATCCCTCTGGTTTGAGGAATTATTTCACGGGGCACGGAGACCTTTTTAAAGTACTAGTCTGAGCCATCTCTCCAGCATGCTTTAAAGCTGCACAGCTTTAAAGCATGCTGTGTAGAGTTCCCTATCAGCATGCCTGTTTCCATATGAATGGAAGGAGCTATTTGCCCTGCGTTTGTTCTCTTCTAGTCCATCAACAAAGCCATGGAGAAGGACCATGAGGAATACAACATTGGAGTCCTGGACATCTATGGCTTTGAAATATTCCAGGTAAGGGCTGGGGAGATGGCTCAATGGGTGCAAGCTATTACTGCACAGGCATGAAGACCTGGGGTCAAATTCCCAGCAGCACTCATGTAAAAAGTTGGATGTGGCCAGTGCTTTGGTGTGGAGACAGGAGGATCACTGGAACTTGCTGACAATAAACTTAGCTCCAGATTCAGTGGGAAACCCTATCTCAGGCGTCTAAGGCAGAGAGTGATAGAGCAGGTCACCGAATGGCCCTCTCTGGCCTCTACATGCATAGCACAGGCACCTGTGTACACACACACACACACACACACACACACACACACACACACAAGAAAAAGAAAAAGAGAGAGAGAGAAGGAAGGAAGGAAGGATGGATGGAGCTGGAGAGATGGCCCAGCAGTTAAGAACTCTTGCTGCTCTTCCAGAGGACCCCAGTTCAGTTCCCAGAACCCACATCAGACCATACAACTGCCTGTGACTCCAGCTCCAGGGATCCAATGTCCTGTTCTGGCCTCTGCAGGCACCAGAACACACATGGCATTCCCATACAGACATATATACATGCATGTAAATTAAAGTATTTAAAAAAAAAAAAAAGGAAAAGAAAGGAAAAACAGATAGTCTCCAGATAAGATTGGTTTGAATCATCGCTTGGCTGGGAACAGGCTAAACTGCCTCTGGCCTGGTGACATGACTCCAGGCAGTGCAAGAGACATGAGCTCAGGCTCATCTTCGCCTTTATGAGTTCTTCATGTACCTTTACCAAATTAGTTTCTCCTAAATACAAACTGCATCTCCTATTGACGTAGCCAGCATTTCTGTTACAGCTTTTCCACACTGAGACATTTCAGTGCATCCCCAAGAAACGACTTTTAGATTATTTTGCAGAATGATTACAGGCAAGGACCTCTTTTTTTCCTTTTCCTCCAGAAAAATGGCTTTGAACAGTTCTGCATCAATTTTGTTAATGAAAAATTACAGCAGATTTTCATTGAGCTGACATTAAAAGCAGAACAGGTAAGCAGCCTTTCTTCCTTCATCCTGTCCTCCTCCTGGCCAGCTCTGATGGCCATAGACTCTCTTTTGATAGAGATTCTAGTTTCAGTCTTGTATTAGGAAGTGTGCCTAATAAAGTCAGCAGTAAAGCCATTTTCCATGTTGGTCATTGAATGTAAATACCATCTGCAGCGTTTTCTTTCTCCTTCAGCATGTGTTGCTATGAGGCTGGACTCAGTCTGCTTTTGCTACTCTGTCTCACTGACCAAGGGGACAATGGGACCCCTAGCTAGGCCCCTACTTGTCGGTGCATATTCTGTCTCCCAAACAAAGTACCTGGCTTTCTCAGATTTTCAACACTCCCCATCTTCCCTAAAAATGTGTATTTTCAGCAATGTTGCCATTTGACTTCTTTGAGTTTTATCTTGCTTACTGTTTTTTTTTTAAGTACAGTGCCAGTTCCATCTTATTCCTGGGGCCACCATAATACAGTACAAACTAGTGGTTTAAGGTAGCAGAAACTTCTTCTCTTGCAGTCTAAAAATCTAGCTTTGTGCCCCTTCAAAGGCTCAAGGGAGAATCCTCAGAATCCTAGGGTTCTTCCTTTTCTACATCCTGGCAATTCCTGGCCTTCTGTGACTGTGGTGGTATGACTCTAGTCTGTGCCTCATCTTTTTCTTTCCATACCCAACCTCCCTCTCCTTTCTCTCATTAAGACACAAGTCTTTGGATTTAGAGCTTACCCTGTGTCCAAGGTGATGTAATCATGAAATCCTTAACTAGTCATACCTGCAAATACCTTACTTCTAAAACTTTCATCCTGAGGCTCTGGGTGGACATGAAGTCTTGGGAGGTGATACACATATCCAAAGTTGTTTAAGAGCCATTTAGTTATGGCATCCTAGCCTTGCACCCTCGAAGAATGGCCAGAGCAAGACAGACAGAGGAGGGTGTGATAGCAACCCTCTGAGATGGGAGGAAGTAGACAGGTCATACAGACACTTTCTGAGACAAGACATAGTGAGTTTGAGAACACCCTGGCTACAAAAGAAGTTTGGACTACATAGTAAAACTTGGGAGAGAGGGAGGGAGGGAGGAAGGAGGGAGGGAGGGCAACAACTGCAACAGTAGAGGTAGAGAGATATGGTCAGGGATGTGAGATTCCATATGTATTTTGCTGAGTATAATCAACAAGATTGCTTAAAATAATTAGCAATGAGTTAAGCATCACCCAGCAGGATTCCTAGCTTTAGCTTGAAGAGCAGGGCCAGTGGCAAGGCTGCTACTGAAGGGTAAGATTACAAGGGTGTTGGCTGGAAATGTGAACTGCCATGCTCATAGAAGTGTGAGAAGTTTAGTACACACCAGCCTGGAGAGTCCCAGATGGAGACTGAAATCACTGATAGAAGGAGGGCTGAGAAAATAAGATGCTGAAATCAGAATCCTGAGACTCTCCATCACACATAAAGGTCTGGCAAGAAGAAAGGTCTAGCAAAGGAAGTCAACAAAGCAAAGCAAAAGAGGAAGACGGACAGCCAGGACAGGTGGTGTTCGTCACATTAAAGGAGTCACTGTATGACTGCAAAGCCTTCTGTGAAGTGCTTAGACACCAGCCTCTGCTACTGTCCTATGTCAAAAGCAACAATTATTATTATTATTATTATTATTATTATTATTATTGGAAATTGGACTTAATAGGCTTAACAATATTTGTCATTTTTGTTAGAACCCAATTTTAGGGTTGGGGATGTAGCTCAGTTAGAATGTTTGCCTAGCATTCATGAAGCCCTGGGTTCAATCCCCAGCACTATATAAAACCAGGTACATGCCTGAAATCCCAACACTCAGGAGGTAGAGCCAGGATGATCAGAAATTCAAAGTCATCTTTAGATATACAATGAACTCAAGGCCAGCCTGGGGCACGTGAGACCCCCATCTTAACAATTTTATGGTAGCAATTTTATATGGGTCAGACGAAACATAAATATTAAGTTATGAAATGTTCCTTTCATATTGATAACCCTCTGCTTATAGGAAAGCTTTCAGTGTTTGTGAAAGAGTGTTCAAGTTTTCTCTTTTTGTGGTGACTTATGTGAGCTTCTGATTTCCGTCATCCAGGAGGAATACGTTCAAGAGGGAATAAGATGGACTCCCATTGAGTACTTCAATAACAAAATCGTGTGTGACCTCATAGAGAACAAAGTGGTAAGCATTAGCTAGAGCATCTCCTCACTGGTCCCCCTTCAGTGAGCGCTCATGCTCTGCCTTGTCATTCCTCACAACTGGCAGGGTAATGACTCTGGCACAGGATGTTGGCAGTGACCTTGGCTTTGTGTCAGTGTGTATGTGTGAAAATTAAGTAATAGCATTCTATTGCCACAGTCAGTATGAATGTGTCCAAAATTCCAAGTTGCAAATGGAAGTTGTTGAGTTGATGACATAGTGTATGAAAAACCATAAAGTGGTTCACATTTTCAGTCCAATCACACAACCTCTAGGATGGAAACTTGAAAAATTATGCAAAAGAAAACCAATCTATGTGCACAGAATCTCTGTAGGACTGTTTAAAAACAAAAAACAAAAACATAAAATACTAAAAACATTCATAGACAACTCAGTCATCAGATAAACTAGAGTGTATCAGAACAGAGGAGTAATAAGTGTGAAGAAAATGTAGAGGAGCCGGTGGCATGGCTCAGCAGTTAAATGCATGTACTGTTCTTGCAGAGGACCCAAGTTTGGTTCCCAGCACCCACATAGGCAGCTCACAACTGCTTGTAACTTCAGGTCCAGGGCATCAGATGCCCTCTCTAGCTTCCGTGGGTACTTGCTCTCACATGCCCCCACCCATACACAGACACATGTACACAGACATAAATTTTAAAAAAAGAACATGTAAAGCAACAAGGAATATTTGCAAAATAGTGCTTTTTTAAAAAAAAATGAATATACAGCAGAAAGCTAGTGCATGTAGCTGTGGGTGGTGTCTGTGTAATGGGCTGAAGAGGACATTCAGAAATGAATAAGGTCAAAGGTGAAAAAACTGTTTCTTTGGAAAATGTTAAACAACAGTGCAGGCAGGAATGAGCAGACAGTGCCTAGGTACAACATCAAATAAAACTAGAGATTGCTGGGAAGATGGCTCCGTCAGTAAAATGCGCATGAGGGGCTGAGTTTGACCCCCAGAACCCACATAAAAACTGGACATAGTAGTGCATGCTGTAATCCTAGAGCAGGCAGGGGAGATAGCAGAATCCTAGGACTCATTGGCCAGCCAGTCTAGCTGAATCAGTGAGTTCTAGGCCAGTAAGAGACCCTGTCCTCCCCAGAAAAAGAGGAGGCTAGGTAGATGGCTCAGAGTGGGTAATGGTGCTTGCCACCAAGCCTGAAAACCCAGTTCCATCTCTGGGACCCACATGGTGGATGAGAGAACTAACTCTGGAAAGTTGTCCTTTAACCTGCACACAAACACACCATGACATGTATGTGCCCACATACCTATGTGCCATGCAAATAAATAAATATAATAAAAATGTTTTTAAAAGATGAGGAACAACATTAGGCAAGATTGTCTTCTGGCCTCCTCCTGCCTGTGCACGTGCATTCACACACACACACACGCACACACACACACACACACACACACACGCACGCACACACAAAACCTCCTAGGAACTAGATAGCTTCTTGGAAATGGAGTCTCCCCCATCTTTGGGTCTGAATACTAATCCCCTGTTTGGGACTGGTAAGTGCATTTCTTCCCTGGAAGGAGAGGCTGACAATCAAGATGGCATCTCGGGTCCAGCAAGGAGTCTCTTGGCTTAACAAAGGACCCAGCAGGTATTGTGTATGTGGAGGAGTCAGTGAATGGGGCTTTGCCTTCTCGGTCTCACCAGAACCCTCCGGGGATCATGAGCATCCTGGATGATGTGTGCGCCACCATGCATGCCGTGGGGGAGGGTGCTGACCAGACACTGCTGCAGAAGCTCCAGATGCAGATTGGGAGCCACGAGCACTTCAACAGCTGGAACCAAGGCTTCATCATTCATCACTATGCCGGGAAGGTAAGACTGGCAACCGTGGAGCACGGTGCAGCAGGCAAGAGGTGATCTGTGTTAAAGGCCCCCTGTTTTGATCTTTTGAGCATGGGCTCTGTTTTCTCACAAGGCGGTGGAGAGCCGTGTAGTTTATTCATTGAATTAATAGGGCCTTTGAAGAATATGAAGAGAAAAAACAAAGTACTGCTTAAACAACTGCATATTTTTAAAGCTTAAATCACCCTGGTACATATAGCAATTGCTGAAGCAATAGATTTTGATCTGGACTCTTACAATCACAAACTTACATTCCTTTGTATTCCCATGGGCATTCGGAGTATAAATCAGGACAAGAGTGCACGTTGGTGTTTGCTCTTATAAGGCACGTGAGTACTAGATGGCTTCAGGGTGCTGTGTAGGATCCTGGTGTAAGCTGAGGTCATGACTCTTGGATACCTCCTGATCCTATGGAAATACACAGAGAAAATCTTTCATCTCATCTCGTCTCTTGTTAACCAAGGTCCCCGAGCATGAGTTTGAGGCCAGATAGGTGCTTCAGGGAACAATTACCAAGTTTCAGATAACGTGGCCTATGGTACCAGATGGATGAATATGAGAGGCTCCACTTTTATTCTCATAAAAATTTGAAAAAATAACTTAGTGCATCATTCACGCATGCCTAGGGATCCTTTGACAAATGCACATATGTTCTTGAGAGCTGAAGACCCCTCACCGATCATCTTGGGAGCCAAGTGCTCTTCACCCACTGTTGGTAGCTCATGGTCGGCTGTGGCACCTGAAGCCTTCATGGGCCAGCTCAGTGAGAATCCCCAAAGGCCACACTTAGCAGTGCATCTTCTGGTGAGGAGAATCATACCCACTTGGAAGTGTTTGGTCCAAGGAAACACGTAAAGGCTAAAGTGAGATCTCTTCCATTCTTGCCCAGGTTTCCTATGACATGGATGGCTTTTGCGAGAGGAATCGGGATGTACTGTTCACGGATCTGATTGAACTTATGCAAAGCAGTGAGCTGTAAGTGTCAATCACTGTATCTGACATTCAGTGTCCTAATCTGCTTTCTGCTGATGTGATAAACACATGACCAAAAGTAACTTGGTGAGGAAATGGTTGATTTCATCTTCTAGCGTATAGTCCCGCATCTAGGGAAGCCGGTGCAGAACTCAAGGAAGGAACCTAGAGGCAGGAACTGAATCAGAGACCATGGAGGAATACGGCTTACTGACTTGCTCAGTTACCTTTCTTACCCAGCCGAGGCCCACCTGCCTAGGGATGGCACTGCCCACAGTTGGCTGGGCCTGTCTACATCATTTAGAAATCAAGAAAATGCCCCACAGGCATGTCCACAGGCCATGTTGATGGAGGAAATTCCTTAACTGAGGTTCTCCCTTCCCAGGTGTACAGAGTTGACAACCAAGCTCAACCATCACATGTTTAGCTTTGGTGGCATTTCCAATTCTCAACCCGATGTGTGGTATTGGAGTGGTTAACATTTGGTTCCTTTTGAGTTGTTGAGTCTGGTTTTATAATTTGAGTATTTGTTTTCTCAAAATAGCTTTTCTCCTTCCATTTGGCCTCTCCCTTATGTCCCTAACACTTCTTTCTCCAAGTGCCATCTGTATGTCTGGCTCTATCATCTTCAATGTTGTTAGAAGGAAGAGGTAACCACACTGGCACTGGGCTGGGATAGCCATTTCTGACCAGAAAGAGTGGAACAGTTTAGTTCTGTGATATTTTGCCCTTGGAACAAAAGCAAAAGAACTTTTCATCATCACTCCATTTAAAAAATATTTTTATTACTTCTTTGAGAATTCTATACAATGTGTTTTGATCATATTCACCTGTGATTCCCCCTTAACTTCTACTAGATCCACTCCCACCTTCCCATCCCCCAATTTCATGTTCTCATTTTTTTCCTGTTTTAAAATTTAGTAACCCATTGAATCCAATTTATGCTGCCCGTATACTCATGGATGTGGGGCCATCCACTGGAGGGTGGTCAACCTGCCAGGGGCCACACCCTTAATTCTACTTCCCCAGAAGCCATCAGCCGTCCATAATTCAGGGGTGTGGGGGGGCGCTAATGAACCCCTTCCCATTTGATGCTAGATGTTGATTGGCTTGATCTTGTGCAGGCCTTGTGTGGGCGACCACAGCTGCTGTGGGTTCATGGGTGCAATAGTCTCATCATGTCTAGAAGACATGGTTTTGTTCTGGTTCTCCCCTACCTCTGACTCTTACCATCTTTCTACCTCCTCTTCTGTGATGGTCCTGAGCCTTGGGGAGCGCATGTGAGATGGATGTCTCGTTAATGGCTGAGGGCTCCATTTTGACACTTAAGTCTCTGCACTTTGACCGGTTGTAAGTTTCTGTGTTAATCACCATCCTCTGCACAAAGAAACTTCTTGGCTTAACAAAACTCAAGTTAACTTGAGTCGCCCCCCCTCCTTTTTTTTCCTGAGATAGTGTCTCCCTATAGTTCTTCAAATATGCTGTATAACCTAATCTGGCCTCGTATTCATGATCCTTCTGCCTCAGTCTCCTGAGTGCTGGGATTATAGGCATGTGCCACCATGCCTGACTCAAAGCTCCGTTTTAACTACCCTATGTAAGCCATAGTAGATCTGTGGGCACCATCCTGGAAACTGCCAGAGCTCTCGAAGCAAACCAGTCCTGTGTCCTTTCCGTCTATCTTCCCTGCAAAGATTTCCAGGCTCTAGAGTAATAAGATGTAATTTACATGTGTGGCACACATGTTCTAGGCAAATGCAATGTTATCAGGCCTCCTAGGTCTTAGCCTCTAAGTAAGAGATGTCCCTTTAGTCTTTGTTACTTTAAATTATCACAATATCAAGGTTGAATATAGGACTGAGACTGTTGCTCAGTGGTAGAAGTCTTGTTTACCACGTGTGAAACCTTGGATTGGATTCCCAACAAAGTGGACAGGGGTTAGCTGCTTCTTTTTCAACTTTTCTTTCTTCTGAGACAGTATCATATAGCCCAGACTGGCCTTAAACTCTCTGTGTATTTGGCAATGACATTGAACTTTCGATCCTCCTGCCTTCACTTACTGAATGCTGGAATTACAGACATGAGCCACCATACCTGGTTTATTTGGTCCTGGGAATCAAACCCAGAGTTTCATGCATTCTATGTAAGCAGTCTAGTGCAACTGAGATGCATCCTCAGCCCGGGATTAACTTTTCTAATGAACAGCAACAATTGCAATAAGCATTCTAAGAAAATTCTAATGGTAACGAAAGCAAAATGGGGTTTCCTTCCTGAGCCCTGGTCAAAAGCTGTTCATTTAAATGTCTTTCCCAAACCCCTGCTACCTTCCCCCATGCCAGTGCCCCCCCACCATCCTCCCCACCCCATGCCAGTCCTCCACCACCCTCCCCATTGCCCCTTCCTCAAATTCACTTGAGATGCCAGATTTCTTTTCATTCGAAATACATAAAATCATTTTGCTTTTCTCTAGGAAGGCCAGGCTGACCGCAGACCCTGTCTTGTGGGTTTCATGGCCGTCAGGTGGAGACCCACTTTCAGAGATGGTTTTTAATTATTAAAACTCCTGCCAAATTCAAGAGCGATTGATGGGCTACATAAACTCCTGTCATCCAAGCATGGAGTGCTGTTTTATAAACGTTTGTGCTGTAAAAATCTATATTTATATCTGGTCAAGTCAAAATAGATGACTGGAGAGATATCCTGGAAAATTCTAGATGACCAAATGGTCACATGGGAAATGAGTTTGGGTTGGAGAGTGTCAAATTGCTGCCTTACTAGGCTCACTTCCTTCATTGGGTCAGTTAGAAAATAGTTATTAAGATGGGAGTGGTGGTGCGTGCCTTTAATCCCAGCACATGGGAGGCAGACACAGGTGGATCTCTGTGAAATGGAGGCCAACCTGGTTTACATAGAGAGTTCCAGGCCAGCTTGGTCTACAGGGAGACTCTACCTTTAAAAAAAAAAAAAAAAAAAAGGGGGGGGGGGGAGAAAAAAAAAAAAAAAAAAAAAAAGTTTAAAAACATGGTTTGGGGCCTTTAAAAAAAAAAAAAAAAAAAAGTGGGGGAGGTGAGAAAGAAAGAAAGAAAGAAAATAGTTATTAAGCTATGGTTTGGGGCACCTGGGTACTGCCAGAGGTACCCAAGACACATCCCTGCACTTTGTGCAGTAAGACAAGCGTGTAAACACAAGTGGCTCGCTTGGAACTACTAAGGAGATATATTCTACAGGCAAAGCCTTGGTGACTTGTGAATGTCGTACTTGGAACTGCTCATACTCAAGGCAGTTTGTCAAGGGGGTGGGGACAGTATGCTACTTACAGGCCTCTAGCAACCAGAGGCCACTCAAAATACTAAATAGCCTATAGTAGGGCTGGGGATATGGCTTAGTCAGTAGAGTGTATGCACAAAGCCCTAGCTTTGATCCGCAGCACTTCATAAGAGCTGGTATAGGGGTGTATGCCTATAATCTTAGCACTTAGCAGGGGAATCAGGAGTTCAAGGTCATCCTGGGCTGCATGTCTAAAAAAAGAAAATTCAGGACTAGAGAGAAGGTTCAGTGGTTAAGAGCACTGGCCACTCTCACAGAGAGCCAGGGTTCAGTTCCTGGCTCCCACATGGCCATTACAACTGTTTGTAACTCCAGGTTCAGGGGATCTAATGCCCTCTTCTGGCTTCTGCAGGACACTGTAGATACATGGTGCACTTACATACATGCAGGCAAAACACCAACAAAAAAGTAAATAAATAAATGAAAAAAAAAAAATCTACAGTATGTAGGACGCTCCCTTGTAGCCCCATCAAAGAATTATCCAAGCATGATGATCAGCCCCAGCCAGGTTCAGAAATGGTGCCTGACAGCACTTTTAAGCAGCAGGGATCTTCAGTGCTCTCATCTCACGCCATCCTCTGGGCTCCCATCTAGCAAACTAGTATGCACAAACCCATCCTGACCTCCTTCCACTGTGTTCGTCCCTCACAGTAAACCTCAGTTCCAGGAATGGGGACTTTCCGAAGACAGGGTTCACCCCGCTTATTTCTTAGGCTGAGACTCTGAGATGTTTGTTATCTTAGAATTCTTTCTGTGGGCCTTCTGTCTGGTATTCATTTGCCCAAGTCACATTTTGCTGGCTTGCCCTGTGAGTCACGTGGTTTGTCTGTGGCCAAGGACTCTGGATGACGTGTCCAGTCCCCATGGAACTGAGAGATTGCTAATCCATTCTCTCTCCTTTTCCAGACCTTTTATAAAGTCTTTATTTCCTGAAAATCTGCAAGCTGACAAGAAAGGGCGTCCAACTACTGCAGGAAGCAAAATAAAGGTTGGTTCTGTTCTGGGAACTGTATGGATTCCTATAAGAACTGGGGTTCTCCAGGACTCAAGAACCCTGCCTCAGGGCTGGGAGGTCAGGTTGGTGCAGGGGATGGTTAAAGAGACACCCAGAAGTAATGCTGCTTGTAAAAAAAATGTCACAGGATATAGCTGAATTTGACTCTGCTGTTCTGAGCCCCCAAGTAGCTATCAACAACCTCATGGCTTTATAGTCAGCAGATAATAATCAGCTCTTTTCTAAGAGGAAATGACCTTAAACTGAATCTGGAAGGATTTATGTTTGAACTATCAGAAATTTTGTGGTTCGGAGCAGTGTTCTGGATATCTGGTGCTTTTTCAGGCTAGGCCCCCAAAACTTGCCAAGTGTGGAACTTGCCTGAAATTCTACTTCATCCTTTAGGGACAATTTACACATCCCTCCTCCCTGGGTCTTACTGGCTCCTCCTTGCTGTGAATTGCAAATATATCTGGCCACATGATGTTAGAGAATAGAAAAGCTTGTGGGCGGTGCTCTGTGTTTGAGCCACTAGGTGGCCAAGTTCATTTTTCTGTTCTTCATTTAAAGATCTTTAAAGATAGTACCAGTTCAAATTATATCTATTTTTCAGAGCTGGAGATATATGTCACACAGTCAGTAGAACTTTTGCTTAACATGTACAAATCCCTGGGTTCTGTGCCTGTGACCCCATAAAATTGGGTATGGTGGTACATGCCTATAATCCCAGCACGAGAAAGGAGAAGGCAAGAAGATCAGAAGTTCAAAGTGATCCCGTAGCTATGTAGCAAGTTCTGTGTTAGTCTAAGCTACATGAAATCCTGTCTCAAAAATGGAATAGATACATATATTTTTAATCATGTTAGTTAGATACACCTCTAGTTTTATAGTAAAAGAAATCAAGTGATTAACATTTGGCATTTCACATTCAGTTGCCTGTGACTTTTTACCATCTGAGTGACAGCCAGCCTGAGGTTTAAATTAGCAGCAGCTAGAGCTGGAGAGATATCCCAGTGGTTCAAAGGGCTAATTGTTCTTGTAAGGGACCCAGGTTCAGCCCTGTGCACCCACATGGAACTCACAACCACCTGTAACTCCAGTTCCAGGGGATCTGATGCCCTCTTCTCTCCTCTTGAGGCTCCTGTACATACATGGTGCATATAACTTGCAGGCACACACACATACACATAAAAATAATAAAATTCTCAGCACCTCTTCCTATAAGGTATGGATTCTAGCACCAACTCCAAGTGTCGTCACCTCCAGTGCCTGAACCCTACCCTGCATGAAATGTCTAGTAGCATCTCCCATATTCTTGCCCGTCAGGTGCTCTCTCCACCATGCCCTCCATCTCTGCTTACTGCTGTGAGTGTTTTTATGTGCCCATGCCGGCTCCTTCCCTAGACTGTCCATTTGCCTTTGTTTGTACTGTGTTCTGTCCCATGATGTCCTTCTGTCTGCACCCTCCTGGTTGATACCAGCCTCACAGACACCATGGTATTGCCCTCTGGTCTTTCCTGTCCAGATGTTTCATTAATGAAGCCCACCTCCCCAGTGCCTGACGACCTTCCTGGGGATAGAAACACTCTCAGCGATAAAGCACATGGTTCATTAAGAAGATTCCAGGCAGGATGGCTCTTTAGGCTCCATAGACAAAGTCAGACATAAAGAGATGGTAGTTTTATTTATTTCTTGTTGTTATTAAGATACACAATGGACTCTGCTTTAAACTGAGTGTGGTAGCCCACACCTGCAATCCCAGCACTTGGGAGAAGCAGGAAGATTACAAGTGTGAGTGGGGATGGGGAATGGAGGGGACAGCCCCACCTGGCTTAATGGTGCTTGCCTATTAACCCAGGACTCAGGAGGCTGCAGCAAGAGGATCATGAGTCTCAAGCCAGCCTGGGTTACATAATGAGACCCTGTCTCAAAGAACAAAGATGGAGTCTTGTCACATTCTTCAAACTCCTAAGCTCAAGCCATCCTCCTGCCTCAGCCTTCTGAATAGAGGGCACCACAGACACATGCTGTCATTTCCAATGCTGTGAGCAGAGTTTTAAGCTGACAGGCAGAGCCCACTGGGTTATAGGAGCATCATGTCATAAGAGCAGATACAGAACAGTGAGTGGAATTGGGTCTCTGTAACAGAGAGCTGAGGGCAGAGGACAGATGCAATTTTTCTGAGGCCCAGATACTAATGCCTGCATGAAGGTCTGACTCGTGCTTTTGCCTCAAGGACCTGAAAAAGGACAAGCTCTGGGCTGGAAACTCTAGTCATGAGACTGTCACGTACAGATCCAAGGGCCCAAATCCCCGAGGTTGCAGTGACTCATCTTCATGTGGTCTGGAACATTCCCCATGAATGGGGAATAAGGGCCTCTTGTTCCTCCTTTGAAGACAGTTCCCTTTCTTTCCTTTAGATTCATGTCTAGTTAAATGTCCGAAGTTGCTACCTTTCTGAGTGTACATAAAATGTTTAGGAGAGCACATTTCAGGCTTCGTATAGGGAGATCAACTTGAAGAGTTAGTTTAGTTATCTAAAGGGATTGTACTGTGTATTCTTATCTGATCACACTCTCCTCAGTGGATCCTGTGACCTAGGTCTGCCTGGTGGTCTACCAGGAGTAGACATCTCCTTATTTTATATGTCCTCCCTAGACACCTCTAAGAGATACATGGCCACAGCCCAGTCTCTGTCCCTTCCAACTCCACATTATTTTTCAGATAAAAATCATACGTAATATATCAGTAAAATACCCAAGGTGTATTGACAGGGACCCCAAGTTTCTGAAAGAAAAATTCAAGGTGATTTTAGTGTTAGATATTTTATTGTGTTGTAATTCCTTAAATTTAAAAAGACTGATCCATAGAACTTAATAGAATATTCATTTAGTGGACACTTGCATCAACTTACTAAAGATAAAAAATACATTGCATGTGGGGCTGGAGAGATGGCTCAGCGGTTAAGAACATGAACTGTTCTTGCAGAAGACCTGGGTTTTAATCCCAGTACCCACATGACAGCTAACAACTGTCCATAACTCCAGTTCCAGGGGATCCAACAGCCTCTTTTGTCCTCCATGGGCATTGCATGACATGGGTGCACTTACCTACATGCAGGCATAACACTCATACACACAAAATAAAAATAAAATAGTTTTTTAAAAAATACATTGCGCCAGGCATGGTGGTGCACACCTGTAGTCCCAGCACTTGGGAGGCAGAGGCAGGCGTATCTCTGTGAGTTCAAGGCCAGCCTGGTCTACATAGTGAGTTCCAGGACAGCTGGGGCCACAGGGAGACCCTGCTTCAAAAAGACCGAAAAAAAAACCAAAAACATTGCATGCAATAGTGCTCGATTCTGAGGCTTCACTGAGTTTTAGATTCTTGTGACTTGAAGGGCCTAGTGTTGAGATTACAGGGAAGGGTTGGTGCTAGAGGGAGCAGAACCAAGTCCCAAGAGGACCAAGGTGGGCATGCCCAGTTGTTACCCAAGTGTTCTGGAGCTATTTGCAGGTAGGAGGAGATGGCCATGGCACCTTGCACTTTGCTGTGCCAACCTTTAGAGTAAAACATCAGAGGTTTAGTTTGATCTACCTGTGTGTAGGATGCAGATAGAAAAACTGAAGCTCAGAAAAATTGAGTGATTCATTGTGTACTTTGCAAATAAAGCCAGAAGCCGCTTTGAAGCAGATGAATCATCGGTCAACAGTAGAATCAGGCCCTCTTACCCGGTGCCTCTCCTCACTGTCCTCTCTTGTTTTTATAGTTTGATTCCCACTCCTGTTGAACAAATATTGCTGATACCTTTCTATTCAACCAATGCATTGTTGGCTGGAGTCAGAACTAATCCGGTCTTTGCTTCATAACTGCCTTAAAGGACATGCAGAGTGACCCACAGTCAGAATAACTGCAACTGATATATATTGCTATTTGTTGGAATTAATTATTCCACAGCCTGGTAGCTCTGTCTCATCCAAGTTCATGCAGTTAATTCCTTTTCTGCCACACTAAGTCATTCCATGTCTTTGTTAAGAAGGCAGAATAACATTGTGCTTAAAAAATGCAGACTTGAATTCAAGTCTTACCTCATATGATCCTAAGGAATCCTTTTATTCATGCAAGGCTCTGTTTTCTCATCCAAAAAAGCAGAAATAGTAATAGTCCCTACCACTTAAGACCGTTGTGAGGAATCAGTAAGATAGTCCATGTACCTGCCTCAGGATATACACTCTATAAATGTTGCCCATGACTATTTTGACCAAGAAAGAACCACATCCAGAGGCTGGAGAAATGGCTAAGTGGTTAAGAGCACTGGCTGCTCTGGCAGAGGACCTGGGTTCAGTTCCCAGCACCCACATGGCAGCTCTCAACTGTCTATAACTACAGTTCCACAGGATTCAGTGCCCTCTTCTGGCCTCCTCAGGTACTGTACACACATGGTATACATTTATACTTGTAAGCAAACATTCACATACATAAAATTACAAAAGAAAAAACAAACCCCTCTGTCAAGTAACATAACATGTTCTGCTCACCTCTGTAAGCTTTCTTTCTGCTGTAGTGCAAAGAAAGCCTGCTGTTAAATGCTTAGGACTGGAGAATCTAAAAACTATGCTTAAAAATTAAAAGTTTGGGGGGCTGGCGACATGGCCCAGTGGTTAAGAGCACTGACTGTTCTTGCAGAGGACCCAGATTCAGTTCCTAGCCACCACATGGTGGTTTACAACCATTCATAACTTCAATTCCAGGGGCTCTAATGCCCCCTTCTGACTTCCACAGGCATTGCACTCATATGGTACACTTACACACATCTAGGCACATAAAACAAAAATGGAAAATTAAATCCTTTTCAAAGATCATCAGGTTTGTTTCCAAATTTCAATATTCATTATCAAAGAAGGTAAGAGACACTTTCCTTTCTCATCAGAGGATGTTGCTTTGACCTGCCGACCTCTATAGCTCTGTCCTCAATTTCAGACAGTGCAAAGAGTGCTGTTGTCTACACATGTAAACAGAGGGCTTCATTCACCAATGACCGTCTTGCTTTGACTATATCCAGCAGTTTTCTCAGGAGTTTTAGATTTCCCAAGCTCAGGAAAGCGGAGAAGCCCTAATTGAGAGAGGCTGTCTGTTGTAAGCAGAGCCCTTCTCCTGACTCGGGCCAGTTTCCTGGCTTTGGGGAGCCTTTACCCTATTTTCTTTTAGAGGTTTTTCACTCTGCAAGCTGACTCACTTAGAAGGAGAATTTGCCTAAGTGCCATATCCATGGACCCCCCAGGGTGTGCCCCACTGTGTGGTGAGAGTGCTGATGTGAATGCTTCTCCTATTTCTTCAAACAGTGTGGGATTCTCATGATTTGAAATACATTCTAAGCAATTCTAGCCTTATTTATGTGGCTTTTTCTGCTTGAACTCAGTCCTGTTTGGGGTATCCAGTGTGTAGTCAGTGATAGATGATTTATACAGAGTCATTTCACTTTGTGAAGAAGAAAGTTATGTACCACAAGCAAGTGCTCAGAGTCTGCAAGTTTGTAAAAAGACAGATTGTGGGAGATGCTGTATGAGATGACATTATAAGATGCTTGTGAATTAAGAGATTTTTTTTTTTGAATCTCACTTCCTTTAACTGTAAATTTACATCATTTTAATTTTTTGAGATTTATTTTGGGACCGGATAGATGGCTCTGGTTAAGAACACTAGCTGCTCTTGCAGAGGACCAGGGTTCAGTTCCCAGCACCTACATGGCTGCTAATAACCATCCATAATTCCAGTTCTAGGGACTCTGACACTTTTCTGACCTTTGTGAGCATTGCATGACACGGGTGCACTTACACATGTGGAAACAAAACACTCATACACATAAAAAAAGTAAGTAAGTGTATGCCATGTGTGTAGGGGTGCCTGTGGAGGACGGAAGAGGGCATCAAATTCCCTGGAACTAGAGTTACAGATGGATCAGAGCCACCTGACATGGGTGTTATGAACCAAACTCCAGGTCCTCTGGAAGAGCAGCAAGTACTCTTAACCTCTCAGCCATCTCTCTAGCCCCTCCATCATTTTAATAAAGAGATTCATCATTGATGTGGTTGCCAGGAAAGAGAGTGTAGGCTTTGAGTTTTTATGCCTGTTCATAATTTGCAAGCCAAAAAATTATCAAGAGCCTGGCATGGTAGTGCATACCTGTTATCCCAATACCTGGGAGACTAAAACGGAAGAATCAGGAGTTCAAGATCATCCTCAGCTACATAGTGAGTTTGAGGCTAGCCTGGACTACACGAGATCCTGTCTCAAAAAACAAAACAATACAAAAATAAAGTAAAAAAAGAAAAGAAAATTAGGGCTGGGTGTGGTGGTGTAGGCCCAGTACTCATGAGACAGAGGTAGGCCGATCTCTGTGAGCTTGAGGCCAGCCTGGTCTACATAGTGAGTTCTAGGCTACCAGCTGAGGCTACAGGGAAACCCTGTCTCAAAAAAAAAAAAAAAAGGAAAATTAATGAAGACGGAGTAGTTACAGTTACTGTTTTGGGTACAAGTTGAACCTAATTTGTTAGTGACAGTATTTCCTTACTCCTGTTGATCTTCCGTGTATCATTCCAATTTTTTGAATATGTGCTGCTGAAGCGGACACAGTATCACCTTACTCCTGATTAAAAGAATTGCATGTAAAGATTTACTCGTTTTTTGTTTTTTGTTTTTTGTTTTTTAAAAAAAGCTTATTTTATTAGCTGTACTAAAAGTGCCTAATTGCTTTCAGGGTTCAATTTCCAGCCCATTTAAGAATGATAAAATCATCATAAAAGTCAGCAGTGCTGTAAGAAATTTCTGGAGCCCGGCCCAAGCTTACTGGATGGATTGCCCTGACAATTTATTTCCAGAAGTGTATCTCTGTGCTAGAGTCCTGCAGGTCCCCTTGGGAGGTTGGACTGCCTAGAGAAAGTTCCTTGTCTCTAACTAACATCTTCTCATTCTAGAAACAAGCCAATGACCTTGTGAGCACGCTGATGAAATGTACACCCCACTACATCCGCTGCATAAAACCCAATGAAACCAAAAAGCCCAAAGACTGGGAGGAGAGCAGGTACAGTGCTGGGGAGGGTCGGAGGCGAAGGCCTTGCTGAGGTGGGCCTGGCGCGGTTGACCTCTGCCTCAGATGAGGTGGAGGCATGCATACCTGGTACTTCCTGTTTCTTAAGTTTTTTTTGACAATGCCTGTGTGATATTTCACCCCCTCTGGCCTTTTCTTAAAATATTGGTAGAATCATTTGATTCAGAATTAGTGAGTTAAGGAAAGGGAAGGAAGGAAGGAAGGAAAGAAGGAAGGAAGGGAGGGAGGGAGGGAGGGAGGGAGGGAGGAAGGAAGACGAGGAAGGAAGGGGTCTTCAGGACATGGCCCAAGGCAGGAGAAAGAAAGAAAGAAAGAAAGAAAGAAAGAAAGAAAGAAAGAAAAAGAGTTAGTGATAACTTTAGTCCCAGCACTTGGGAGGCAGAGGCAGGTGGATCTCTATGAATTCAAGGCCAGCCCGGTCTACATAGTGAGTTCCAGGGCTACCTAGGGAGAAATTCTGTCACACACACACATACACAAGACCAAACAAACAGAAAGTGATTAGTGATTAGTGATTTATTATGTTGATCTGGCTAGTCTAGAGGCAGATGTTAAAAACTTTAATACTGCAGAGTTGTGATGGTTTTAAAATTAGTTTGAGGATCTGTTTAGATGTTTTTAGTAAGCTCAGTTCCTGACTGGTACCCACAGGATAAAACCTAGGTAGGATCCAGCCTCGGTAGGATGCGTAGCCCATGCTTTTAAGGTGCGGGATAAAAATGATTTGTCAGTTGCTGTAGGTTGTAAAGTTTCAGGGACAGGCCAGAAGCCCAGGATCCTGTCTGAGCACCCCACACAGGAGCAGAGTGACAGAGGGAAGAGGTAGAAGGAAATAGACCGACCTCAAGTGCTCAGGAGCCCTGTTGGGCTGATGCCTGAGAGAGCCAGTGTCACTCTTCCTCCAACAAACAGTATTTAGGGACGTTACCTGTGCAAGGTGAAGTGGGGAGTTTGAGTTGGTAACTGTGGGGGTGTTGACTTTGTCTCCAGTCTAGAGATCCAGAGCCCATTCCTAGGATCTTGGCCTTACTGTCCTCAGGGAGCACAGCAAGAATGACTGGGAAAGAGGCTTCATGGTAGTGTGACAACAGAGGGTACCCCACATCATCACCAGATCATCAGTTCCCAGGCTATGAGCCTAACACAATGCTATCTGTATTCTTATCTGGGAGAAAAGAAGATTGGATTTTTGTAAGGTTTCAAGTAACTAAGTCAAAGGGAACAATAGGAAGACCAGGCTTAAAATTCACAGCTGCTGAGTACTTCCTATGAGAGACAGGTGCGGGTCACTTTCCCATACTGCCTGAAGCTCTGTTCTCAGCCATGGCAGATGGATGGTTAGGTATTTGAGCCTGTGTAGGAGGGAAAAGGCAGATAGTAACAACAAACACACAACACACACACAAAAGCCCACCCAATGAAACATCACTCTCTGAAGGGTATTCTTTTATTCTTAACATTTCATGGTGGATTGGGAATGTAGCTTGGTTGGTAGAGTGGTTGCTTAGGATGTACAGCACCTCAACTAGATTTGAGCCCCAGAACTGCATAAACCTGGCAGGGTGATGCAAGTGAGCTACCATGCCTGCCGTCTTTATGTGGGTTCTGGGGATTGAACTCAGGTCCTTATACTTGTAAAGCAAGCCCTTTACCAACCAAGCCATTTCACCAGACCCCAAGGACCACACTAGTGTCGCCAGGAAGCTGGTCTGGGATTTAGAAGAAGTCTGACCTTCAGCTAACCGTTAATAAGTAGTTTGAGTGGGACACACCTCCCACACCCTCAGCTTCTGGCTCATTTCAACAGAATCTATCTAGAACACTGTCTCCCTCGATGAGCTCTGTTCTCCATGGCCATCAGTCTATTCTGTCTCTAACATGTATTCATGTATGCACATCCCACCCACACACATGTGCACTGGCACATGCACACACGTATCCACACAGGAGAAGGGTGGTGCCATAGGCAAATACAGAGAAAATCCTGGCAGCAAAAGTGTTGTTAAGAGTGCCTAAGTCCACTCTTCCCCCCATTTCCAACTCCCTATCTTTCCTTCCTCCCTTCTCAGTAAATAGTCTTAAGTAAAAACATTTTATCTGCCTTATAAGTAAAGTGCCACTCCCTAACCTCAAGGAGAGGCTGCTCAAAGGCTCTCCTGTAAAGAAATTGTGCAATGGCTACTGCCTGGCCATCCGCAACCCCGACACTACCTTCACACGAAATTGAACCAGATTCCAGCTGGGGCGATGGCTCAGTCTGTAAAGTGCTTGCCTTGCAAGCATGAAGGCCTGACTTTGATTCCCAGAATTCACATAAAATGCCAGGTATGATGCCATGCTCATAATCCCAGAGCTGGGAAGGCAAAGACAGGCAGATCCCTGAGGCTCATTGGCTGGTTTGCCTGGCATAATTTGTTCCAGGCCAGTAAGAGACACTGTCTCAAAGGAAGTAGCTGGTCGTTCCTAGAGATGACACCCGAGGTTGTCCCCTGGCCTCCACATGCACACAGACACACGCTAAAAACAATCCAGCTTGAGTCACTGAATATCAGAAAACGGAATTAAAACAGTTATGTTATATTCTTCATAGGTTTCTGCCTTGGTTGTTCCATTCCTCTCCCTCCTCCTCCCCCTCTTCCTCATCTCCCACAACTGTCCCCTATTTGAATTTCAACAAGAACATGATAGGCATTTACGTAAGCTGGTTTTAAAAAGCTCAAAGTGTGAGCTGGCCTTACTGGATGTATTACCAGCAGGACCCCTCCCCCATAAGTTTATTCACAGAGGACTTCACTCCCTCCCAAGTGTGGGGCACTGTGAGTTGCTGGTGGGATTACACGCTCAATTGAAATTCTCAGTGGAGAAGGTTACTCATTCCACAAGTTTATGGGGTGTGGGGTTTTTCTTTTCCTGTTACAAATGTGTTTTCATTTGGCTTCTGGCGAAGTGGCTCACCCTGGGTTCTGAATTGCTGCCCTTGCAGAGTTCTCAGGCTGTGGCTTGCTTAAATCAGCAAGGACAGTCCTGCAGATGGCTCCTCCCACAGGGTAGAAATCAAGGCCTGGAGAGAGTGACTGCTGGGTTGCGCTTGGCCAATGTCTACCAGGTGGCAGCACTCCAGGAATTTAGAAAAAGCAACTTGGGTCCTTCAGTGACATGAAATTTTACACATTACAGGATTTGCCTTCCCTCTGCAGAAAATTTCTATAAGAACATGTGCTAGAGGATAGGGAGGTGGTTCAGTAAAGTGTTTGCTTTGCAAACATGAGGCTCTGAGTTCATAACTCCAGCACCCATGTAAAAATCCATCTAAAAACAGCTCCAGCAACCATTTCATTCAAAAGCTAAAAGTTCTTTAGTTTATTGAAAAGAAAAATTTTGTTCATAGTCCAAATGACAAGTATATGAAGATTTATTTTTATCGATATATCTTTTATTATTTTTACTTTTTACATTTATTTATTTGGGGGGTACGCACATGCCACAACATATATGTAGAGGTCAGAGGACAACTTTGGAAGGCAGTTCTCTCCTCCACGCAGCTCCAGAAGCTCTAACCTATATCATCTGGCTTGACAGCAAGTGCCTTTCCTCCTGAGCCATCTCCCTAGCCCTGAACTTCTGGGCTCAATGGATCTTCCTGCCTCAGCCTCTTGAGCAGCTAAGAGCTACAGGCAGGTGCCTGACTTTGGGTTTTTATTTTGCTGTTATTCTGTGAAGTACATGTGTAATTTCATCTTGCTTAATTGTAGTAGTTCATAATATTTTAAAGTGAATAATATTCAATCCACGAGTTTGACTTGATATCTGGACACTATAAATTATAGTCTTATAACTGTGTTTCTCTGCAGCTTGGAGTTAGAGGGATGGTGGTTGGAGGAAGGGAAAGTGTCTGGATGGCAGAGCAGCAGGAGCATCTAGTAATGCCCAGGCTCCATTTTCTATCTTTTAGGGTAAAGCATCAAGTTGAATACCTGGGTCTGAAAGAAAACATTCGAGTGAGAAGAGCTGGCTATGCTTATAGGCGTGTCTTCCAGAAATTTCTACAGAGGTAATGAACTAGTGGCCCTAGAATTTTCTTTCTTTTCAAATGAGTTTATTGATGTCTAATCACATCTCATGCAAAGTATCCATTTGAAGTACATGACTGAATAGCTTTTAATGTAGCCAGAGTTGAGCATCCATCACAATTCATTTTAGAATATTTTCTTGCTCTGAGAAGAAGCCCTGTTCTCTCTCCATAATGGTCATGTCTCCTCTGTTCCCATCCTGAGCAGTCACTGATCTGTTTTCTGTCACTATAGATTTGTCTGTGCTCTTCAGACAGAATCATATTTGTCCTCTGTGACTGGCCTCTTTCATGTCAGTTTCAAGAGTTGTCAACATGTCTACACTTTACTCCTCTTCATTGGTGAATAATATTCTATAGCATGGACATACCACATCATGCCTGTTCATTCATTAGTTGGCAACATCAGTTGCTTCCACTTGAGCTCCATGGAGGATAATGCTGCAGTGAATATTCTTGTATAAGCTCTGGGGAAGACATAGGTTTCAGCTCTTTTGATGTAGACCTAAAAGTAGAATTACTGAGTCACATGTAATTCTGCCAGGCTATTTTCTGAAGTGGGTGTACCACATTACATCTGTACCAACAGTATTTGAGGGCTGCATCTTTGCCCAGGTTTTGCCAACATTTGCCGATATCTGTCTAACCTTGCTAGTGGGCGTGAAGTGGTAGCTCATTGTGGCTTTGATTTGCATTTCCCAGATGACAAATGACATTCACATCTCCTCAGAAGCTTATTGGCCGTTTGTATTTCCTCTTAGAGAAATGTCTGTTCAGGTTCTTTGCCCTTTTTTTTAGGGCTTTTTGTCTTTTTATGAAAGACGAAAAGACTCATAAAATATGTCAGTAGCCACCGAGTTAGTAGACTTCTGCAGACTATAACATCAAGTTCAAGAATTTATGATAATTGTGACATAGGAATGGCTGGGGATGGACTTGACTAGGTGGGTTAACAGTATGCAAACAATTGCAAGAAAATATTTGGCCCACTTAAGAAATAAGCTTAAGCTATTTAACTTTAAATTTTTTGAAGAATCTGTATTTAAATTTAAACTGGTTTTTATATTTCCCTTAAAATGTGTTTGGAAGGACCTGTGTTTAAGCGGTTCTTATTTTGTGTTACTTGTTTTTGAAAAGGATAAAATTTTGAATTCTTAAAATATGATATCATTCTTACTTCTCCTGTGGCATTTTACTGTGTTTTCTATTTATTTAATTTCCCTTAAAGAAAAAAGGAAGTGGGGACACTGAGGGTATAGCTCAGTTGATAGAGTGCTTGCCTGGCATGCATGGCACCCTGGGTTCATCCCTATCCCTACATAAAACCAGATGTGGTCGTGCATGCCTATGATGACTTGGAGGTAGAGGCAGGAGGATCGGGAGTTAAAGGTCATCTGGGGTACATAACAAATTTGAGGCCAAATTGGGGTTTTAAAAAAAAGAGGGCAGGAGGGAGGGGAGAAGAAAGATGAAGAGAAGGAGGAAGAGAAGGCAACATTTTAATCAGAAAACACTGTCTTTTTAGGGTATGATACAAGACACAGGTAGAATATAAGGACTTTTTGTTTGTTTTTAGGATAGGGTTTCATGGTGTCCAGACTGACTTCAAATTTGCTGTCTAGCCAAGACTGGCCTTGAACTCCTGATTCTTCTGCTTCTATCCCCCAAGTGCTGGGATTATAGGTGTGTGCCACCATACCCAGTTGAAAACGTGTGTTTAATTCATATTTCATATAAGGAAGAACTAGCAGGGTGAAGAAGAGCTTGAGCATAGCCTGTGAAATCCAGTGCTTCTAGGAGGATAGGGTTCCCTTGTCATTTCTTGTGTTGTGAGGTAAGCATAGCTGACCCACCAGTCATAGGTTCTAGAAAGATCCGGTCATTCCATACAATAGCTGCATCGACTCAGTCCACACATTCAAGTTTCTTCATAATTTTGGAAGTGGATTAGACCAGGAATAAAATTCACTCCGACAACCCTCTAAATGATAGTTGCTAGTGCACCAGTCGTGTCAGCAGGACTGTGTGAAAGAAGGTCTTTGGGAAGCTGAGAAAATAAACGAGTAAAGGTTTTGAATCACTGTCACAGTGTCCATTTGCTGAGGAACAATTTAGGGTTAGTTTTAAGACCTTGATCTTCTTTAAAAGGTTCAGTGACATTTAATACTGTACTCTCAGAGTAGCGTTGGGGATTGTGCTGTATAATCTCAGCTGTCAACTTGACATACCTTGGAAGAAGGAACCTCAATTGAGGCATTTTCTCCATCAGCTTGGCCTGTGAGCATGTCTGTGAGGCATTTTCTTGATTGTTGAGTGATGTGGGAGGGCCCAGTCTACTGTGGGTGGTTCCACTCCTGGGCAGATAGTCCTGGTTTGTATAAGAAAGAAGTCTAAGGACAGGCCAGAAGAGTAAGCCAGTAAACAGCATTCCTCCACAGTCTCTGCTTCAGTTCCTGCCTCTAGGCTCCTACCCTATGATCTGCTCTGACTTCCCTCAATGATGAATTGTGATCAGGACATGTAAGCCAAATAAACACTTTCTATTCCAAGTTGGGTTTTGATCAGAGTGTTTTATCACAGCAATAGAAAGTTGACTAGCACAGACATTATGCCTGGTGCCCTGACTGTGTGGAATGAGAATTTAGCTACTGAGCTATACCCATGGTTGACTAGGAAGGAGCACTTTTATTTGGGCTAGTATCAAAAGTTCACTTTAATTTTTTTACAAAATTGTATTATCATTTTGAACAGTGTCTCATGGGGTCTCTTTTACAGTTTTCTCTGAAGAACCTCTTCCCACCTGCATTGCTTTTTATATCTAGTAACATTTTGCATTTGTCACACGGTATCCTTGGATAAATTCCAGATGGATTAGGGACTTAAATGTGGAAAACATAAGCCTATAGTCAGGCATTCGTGCAAGATATCTGTAGTTTTCTTCTAGTATATTTGTTCCCTAGGCTTCCAAGAGCCTTGTTTTGTGTGGAGTCTTAATTGTAAGTTACAGAATCAGTGGTCATGGTGCTGTGACAAATCTCTTCAGTCTGTTTTGTGAATTAATAGTCCACTTATTTAAGACCAACATCTGAATCTGGACTCTGACTACTTTTCACCCCCAAGAATCAACCAAACCTGTTAACATTTGAAATTGAATGACTTTTGACTTGGGAGGCTGCCCTGTGAATTGTAGAATGCTCCTCAGTATACTTGAACTCTCCCCACAGGTGCAAATCTTAAGGCCCCACCTCATGAGCCACTGGTGACACCCAAAAGTGTGTATATATGTTACTTAATATTCCCTGAGGCACAGTTAGTTGAAAGCTACTGCCTTGCAAAACTGCATTTCTTTGGAAAACACTATTTTTTTTCTTTTAGAAAAACTCAAATATAGAAAACAGTGAATGAAAAAGTATTTTCTCCATCTTTAACTAAAAAGACCAGCCTGGCAGCTCCAAAACAGTTATAATTTTACATCCTCTAATATATTTCATGTATTTAAAACCTATTTAGCAAGTATATGACATATACCTGTCTTCCCAGCCCCAGGAAGTGGAGGCAGGAGGATCCTGAGTTTGAAGCCAGCCTGGGTTGCAGATAGTTCAAGGCTAACCTGAGCTACATAGTAAGATCCCTTCTTATAAAAATCAAGGGGGGGGAATAAAAATAAAAAAATAAAATAAAATAAAATAAAAATCAAGAGAATGGCTGGAGAAATGGTTCCGCAGTTAAGAGCACATACCACCCTTACAGAGGATTCAAGTTCAGCTCCCAGCACCCACATTGGGCATCTCACAACCACCTCTCACTCCATCTCCAGGGGATACAAAGCCCTCTTCTCAACTCCGAAGCCGCCTGCACTCATGTGCACATACCCACACACATAATCACATAATTTAAAGATAATAAAAATAAATCTTAAAGTATAATTAATTCTAAAAAAAGAAAAGAAAAACCTAAGGCCTAGCGATGTACCTCAGCAGATCACTTGACTCGCTTGAACAACCTGCGTTCAGCCCCTAGCACTAGCAAAGAAAGAAAAGAAAAGAAAAAAGAAAAGAAAAGAAAAGGAGGGGAGGGCGGGAGGGGAGGGGAGGGAGGGGAAATAATTTGATTCTCTACATTCGGCATTTGCCACTTCTGTCTAAGGGGCACTGCTGTAGAAAGATCTGTCTAGCAAGATGACTCAGTGGGCCAAGGCATCTGCTGTACCTGTTTCCAAGCCTCAGGACCTGATTCAGTCCTCAGGACCCACATGGTAGAAGGAGAGCACTGACTCCTAAAGTTGTCTCTCAACTCCACACAAGTGTCGTGGCATATACGCCCCCACCCACACCAATAAATACATAAATATAATTTTAAAAGTCAAGAAAAGAGACGGACTTCCTGAGTAGTTCTGTGAGTGCTGCTGTTCTGGGGGGATCCCGAGCAAGCTATGTGACTTGTCCTCAGCCTAATGATCCGTGAAACGGTCATAATATCCAGACCTTTCTGTAGTGCCATGCAGGGCACTGTATGCTGTGTCTCATAGTGAGTAGGCATCTGGTGAGCTCTGGGATGCCCCTTTCTAGACATTTCTGTAGTGCTATGCATGGCATTGTATGCTGCGTCTCCCAGTGAGCAGTCACCTGATAAATTCCGGGACACCCCTTGTGGCAAGGCATGCTCACTGAAGTCATTAAGTCCTTTCGCCCCCAGCTCCTCAGCTATGGGCTTTTCCTTTCAGAAGAGAAAAGTGAACATTTGGGCTAGATAGCTGTCATACAAGTTTCTTTGATTGCAGTCTTCTCTTGGTTCGAGAATACTAGGGAAGGAATCAAAATTAAGTTTGGAAGGAAATTTATTATTTTAATGAGCACATTCTCAGCATCCTGCACAATATCTCAAAACTGTTATTGAAGTGATCCACTAAGAAATGACTTGAAGTGAATACATGGCAAGATCAAGCCAGCCAAAATCCCAGCAGGGATGGGGAGGATGAGAAG